CTTCAGAAAGATTAAGGTTTTTTTTAGTACTGGTCACTCATGCTTTGCTTAACAGTTAAAATGAAGACTTACGTGAAGCACTGAGGCTGTTCAGACGGTTGTTTTGAAAATGGGTTTATTTGCCAAGACTCCATGTGTTTAGTAGGGACACCTGTCTGTCAAAAGACATCACAGCAGCCAAGTATATGTAGATAAAGAACATATTGTTGAACCAATTATGTCCTGTAAACAGCTGATGTGAAAATAAATAAATAAATCAGTCCTTACAGATTTTGCATCTCTGTTCTTTAAGTTATGCACTTGAAGCTTCTTTTATCAGAGCTTTGACTACAAATGCATTTATCAGTATACCATAAGTGGCGGACAGTGGAGAGACACATGAGGGACGAGGGTTTGCTCCCTTGTATCTTCATCAAAACTACCGCTGATGCATTACTGTCATTCTCTTTCATGTGCTACAAACAGTGGCTTCAAACATCATGTCATGGTTAGTGGAATGCCACAGAGCAAAAAAGCCCCACATTGTGTAAAGTACAGTAAAGAGAGGCACATACAGTGTCTATGTAGTTAAATTAGTGTTTGCTGTTCAATAGCAAACTGCTGATGTTGAATGTGATGAGAACTGAAAACCATGTACTTTGCTTTATAAACCTACATTCCTCAATTAAATTTTTCACTTCAATTTTATTTGTATAGCGCTAATTCATAACAGAAACTATCTCAGGACACTTTTCAAATAGAGCAGGTCTAGACTGAACTCTTTATAACATTATTTACAGAGACCCAACAGTACCACCATGAGCAAGCACTTGGCGACAAGGGCAAGGAAAAACTGCCTGTTAAAAGGCAGAAACCTAGGACAGATCCTTCGGCTCTAGGTGGGTGCTCGTCTGTCTCGACCAGTTGGGGTGAGAGAGAGACAGACAGACAGACAGACAGACAGACAGACAGACAGACAGACAGACAGGTGCACAGCAACAACAGTATTGGTACTGGCAATCTAGCAGGACCATGGCAGGAGGCTCCACTAGGATCGATAAGAACCTGCGAGACAAGAAAGCGAACTCCGGGGAAGAAGTGAAGTTAGTAACATGCATTAATGGGACATGAATGAGTGCAGAAAGAGAGAGGAAGAGAGGAGCTCAGTGCACCATGCCAGTGCAGAGAAGCTAGTACAGGAGAGATGTGATCTCTTTTTCTAGTTCCTGTCAGTACTCTTGCTGCAGTGTTTTGAATTAATTGGAGAGTTTTAATGGACTTATTGGGGCAACCCGATAATAAAGAGTTGCAGTAATCCAGCCTAGAAGTAACAAATGCATGGATTAGTTTTTCTGCATCTGTCTGTGATAGGATGTGTCTAATTTTTTTAATATTACGTAACTGAAAGAAGGCAGTCCTAGAGGTCTGCTTCATGTGGAAATTAAATGACAAATCCTGATCAAAGATAACTCCAAGATTCCTGACAGTGGTGCTAGAGGCCAAGGTAATGCCATCTAGAGTAACTATATCTTTACACAGTGAGTCTCTAAGGTTTTTGGGGCACAAGAATTTCTTTTTTTTCTGAGTTTAACATCAGAAAATTGCAGCTCATCCAGGATTTTATGTTCTTAAGACATGTTTGTAATTTAGATAATTGATTAATTTCATCGGGCTTAATCGATAGATATAACTGCGTGTCATCTGCATAACAGTGAAAGTTAATGGAGTGATTCCTAATAATTTTGCCTAAAGGGAGCATATATAAAGTAAATAGTATTGGTCCAAGTACAGAACCTTGTGGAACTCCATGACTAACTGTAGTATTTATTGAAGATTCATCGTTAACGTGTACAAACTGCGAACGATATGATAAATATGACTTAAACCAGCTTAGTGCGGTTCCTTTAATGCCAATTTGATGCTCAAGTCTCTGTAAAAGAATATTATGGTAAATGGTGTCAAATGCAGCACTAAGCTCTAATAATACAAGTACAGAGACAAGTCCATTGTCTGAAGCAATCAAAAGGTCATTATTAACTTTAACCAGAGCTGTCTCTGTGCTGTGATGAACTCTAAATCCTGACTGAAAATCCTCAAATAAACTATTGTTATGTAAAAAGTCACACAACTCTTTGGCGACTACTTTCTCCAGTATCTTAGAGAGGAAGGGGAGGTTAGAGATTGGTCTATAGTTGGCTAAAACACCTGGGTCAAGAGTGGGCTTTTTAAGAAGGGGTTTAATTACAGCTACTTTAAGGGACTGTGGTACATATCCTGATAATAAAAAAAGATTAATCAAATCCAGTAAAGAAGTGCCAATTAAGGGTACGACTTCTTTAAGCAGCCTAGTTGGGATCGGGTCCAACAGCCAGGTTGATGGCTTCGATGTAGAAATTATTGAAGTTAACTGATGAAGATCGATAGCAGAAAAACAGTCTAAATATATATCTAAGTTTACATTAGTTAAAGTTCCTGAACTTGGAGAGCCACTGATAACTGTTGATGGCAGTTGGTGATTAATTTTCTCTCTAATAGTAATAATTTTATTATAAAAGAAGCTCATAAAGTCGTTGCTACTTAATTTATGGGGATATGTGGCTCAATAGAGCTGTGGCTCTCTGTCAGCCTGGCTACAGTGCTGAAGAGGAACCTAGGGTTATTCTTATTTTCTTCTATTATTGCTGAATAATAGGCTCCTACGGAGGGCCTTTCTATAGGTTTTAAGATTATCTTGCCAAATTGAGCGAAGATAATTTGGAAGAGCGCCATTTCCTTTGAGATTTCCTAGCTTTTTGTTTTAATTGGTGGGTTTGGTGGTTGTACCACGGTGCTAGTTTCCTATGTTTTAATAATTTCCTTTGTATAGGAGGGATAGAATCTAATGTTCTTCGTAGTGAGCCTGCAGCACTATCAACAAGATTAACAATTTCAGAGGGACTAAAGTTGTTATAGGATTGTGTTAAATTCAGACATGGCATTGAATTAAACATTGAAGGAATCTCCTCCTTAAATTTAGCTACAGCACTGTCAGATAGACATCTGCTGTAGGAAGTTTTGCCTAATGGCTTATAATCTAATAGTCTGAATTCAAAAGTTATTAAATAATGGTCAGATAGGAAAGGATTATGTGGGAAGACTATTAAATGTTCAATGTCAATGCCATATGATAGAACAAGGTCAAGAGTGTGATTAAAACAATGAGTTGGTTTATTTACACTCTGACAGAAGCCAATCGAGTCTATTAATGATATAAATGCGTTACTAAGGCTGTCATTGTCAACATCCACATGAATATTAAAATCACCCACAATAATTACTTTATCTGATTTAAGGACTAAACTTGATAGAAACTCTGAGAATTCAGATATAAAATCAGAGTACGGTCCAGGAGCGCGGTACACTATAACAAATAGAACTGGCTGCAGTGTATTCCAGTTTGGGTGAGAAAGACTAAGAACAAGGCTTTCAAATGAATTATAATTTAGTTTAGGTTTAGGGTCCATTAAAACGCTTGAATCATAAATGGCTGCCACTCCACCTCCTCGGCCAGTGCCTCGAGGAACGTGAGTATTAATGATTGGGGGGGGGGCAGTGGATTCATTTAGGCTAACATACTCCTCGTGGGACAACCAGGTCTCAGTAAGACAAAGTAAATCAATATCATAATCTGATATTAATTCATTCTCTAAAACAGCTTTAGATAACAGAGACCTGATATTTAACAGTCTGCATTTCATTCTTTTATTTTGTGCTACTGAGGAGTTAGTTTTAATTTTTATTAGATTTTTATGTTTAACTCCTCTTGTTTTTATTTCTTTAAATAATTTAGGTGGTTGGGGGACAGACACAGTCTCTATGGGGTTTATAAATGTACGCACACTTAAATCCAAATCCTACATTTCATGATTTCTCAGAGGTTTCTTTTCAGGACAACGCCATTTTTGATATCACAACGCTTCTAATTGTGGGGTTTTTCCCTCGAGCAAAGTCATCTGGATTGTGGATTTATAGGAACTGTGTATAAAAAGAGCTCAGTTGACTTTGACTCCACTGAGTTTCTAAGAGAATTACAGTGTTTTGTTATTCAGTGACATGGTATTCATAATTCTTTGCAGAATTCTGTTTTTCATGCAAAAGTAGCGTTAAATATGATGCAGTGTTATATGTGCAACACCACCTAGAGCAGCAACATTGCAAAACTGACCATTTTCATACTGAGTATTCTGTTTTTTAATACTGCTGAGGACATTGCTGCTAATAGCTAATCTTTATATTTACTTAGTAAATATAGTAAGGAACAACTTGAACATTTCACAGGTCTGTTAGTTAAACTAAACAACACAAATATTTTAAAATGTTCACTTATTGTGTAGCAGTGCAAGTGAGCTAATTATATTTTATACAACTGAAAAAACTAAATGTTTTAAACCATAACAGGAATCTTATTGGGGAGAAATATCAGTGTTTGTGCTGTTAATAACATCATTAAAACACCACAGAAATTAATTCTGTGATGCCTCTGAAATTGTTTTACACAGGGCAACTAAAGGAAAGAGTAACAAAAGTACTTTGGAGAATATTCTGCTTTACTCAAACTCTGTAATGTCTCAGTTCCGTGATGGACAACTGAGCAAAGACTTATTCAAAATGTACTTCGAACTCCTTAGACTTAGAAGGTCTGGTACCTCATAAAGTAAAAACAAGCTTTTGAAACTGTTTCTTTTCTTTTTTTTTTTTTTTAAAGAAATAGGATTTTAGCTGAAACCACACAAAGGAGGAAAAGCATTTAGACTTTCTGTAGTCTCAGTGGTGGGATGAATACTTCCCTACAAAGATTTCAGGGTTGCGCAATGTGCACAGATACTGTGGGAAATGTTCCAGAAAAAAAATGCAGAATGGACCTCAGCCAGTCAAAAATAGGAAGTGAGGAGAGAAGAACTTAAAGGCTGCACAGTTTCTATCAACACAGTGAAGTACAACAAAGAAAAACACAGTTTAGAAATATCAGGCACCACATCGTATTCTAGTATTACATATAAACCTTTTTTAGTTTTTAATGGTAAAGCTTCATTCAACGCCTCTGAAGTTTTTCAGTGATTTAATTGGCAGCTTTTGCATTGATTGTCTCATTTGCACAAAAAAACCATACACATATATGCAATGCTGATGTTCTACTATTCGACATCATTTCAGCGAAAATAAAGATAATTCTTGATTTACATCATGAGATATATACATTATTAGACATCTCACTCGTGTTTCATTCAGATGCAAGCACATTTGAAATGCCTGAATCAAACAAATTTGCAGTCTGTAAATCTCACTATAGCTTATATGTTATTCTAAAATCTTCATACAGTTGGCAGTGTAGGCTGACTGCTACATATAGACATTGTCTAATTCTACAGGAAATGAGAAGAGTAAGTTGTGCCAAAAAAAGAAAAACACTTTCACATTGTCAAACATGAACCATTGTTCATCTGATCCATAACGGATCCACAGATTTCCCTGCTCAGTTCAGTTGTATTCCCCTGCTCCTATATCATACTGAACACTGGTTAAGTAATTAGATTGAAGTGGAACAATCACATGTTGCCATCAACTGACAGCTACTGTAAGTGTGTCACAAGAAATACAGCTATGACCAAAGCATAGAGAAGGAAAACAAAGTGGGCGTTCTTTGCCTTCTCCACGGTCAATTGAGCATGTTTAAACCAGGGTAAAAACACTTGCACTGTCTAGGTGTTCAATTAAGGTGATCAGAGAATGAAACCTAATTTGTCATGTCCGCACATAAAGATGTGGAGCTTGCATAGTTTTGGATTCATTGTTTGTGCTTCACTTTACATGCAATAAAAATGATGATAAGGAAGTGAACCTGCTGACAAAAGTGGCTGAAGTCGCCATAAAAACAAGGCATCCACTCTCCTGGGGCAGTGATACAAAATAGTAACAAACATTGTGCACAACATATAATTAAGGACACTCTCGGGGGAGAGGACAGACAGATTCTCCATTGGATAGACTGTAATAGATTATACCTCAAATACATAATAGAAGGAGTTATAAACAGTCCGTGAGGGAGTAACATTTAGGATAAGGTACAGCTTTGGATGCTTGTGTGGTTTGTTGACATGATTCCTCCTTTCATGTCTGCAGTTGGTATTAGACGTGGCAATTTCTAGTCATGGTCTGCAAAGAAGCAAGTCACATGCTTGCTGCAGCTGCTCGTCTGTCTGGCGAGCAGACACTACAGGCAAAAAATAGCTGTGAAGGCGACTCTCTGCAACTGTCCCGGCGGTTAGAACAAGCTGTGGTACTCTGGCCACGGACTACAGCTAATCCCACTTTCCTGATGCTGGCTGATGAGTGATTGGTTTGCTGACTGATTGGCTTTTAGGACTTTCAACAAAACTGGTAGTTGTTGGTCTTCATCAGAGGCTGCTCCTCTTCCTCGTGGTCACAAGACTGGTCACAGGGGCCGTCGCAGCACTTGGGCTCATCACACACTTCACCCTCTGTGACCTGCTGCTGCACATTCTGGTAGATTAGCTGTGGAGAGGCATCATTAGGATGGTGAGATTTGATCTAAGAGAGCCTAATATTGGCTTCATCTGAATATTATGCATGATGAGAGAACAATTTCTTGCAATCAAACTATATTTTGTATCTAAAACGTATAATTCTGTTTATGTGGCAGAATATGTTTCTTTGTTAGAAATATATATACATATATATATATAGTGAGTTTCTCCTTTGGAAACAGCACCCAAATAAGATTCTAACACAAAACAATCTAATTCATTTAATTGGTTTGACAGCACAGCTAAATCTGTTGTGTCTTTGGGAGAGTTAAATGAAATAAAGGAGGTTTTCTGAGGACATCTTGGCTAGAGTGTCACATGCTTTGTTCCATGCATAGTTTTAGTTTTGGCAAAGCCAGACTGGAGTCCCTACACCCTGCTTCACACTAACTCACCTGTTCCTGCCCGGGTTGGTCCCCAAGTAGTCTTTCTATCAAATGTGTAATCTTGTTAAATGTTGGACGCTCTGTAGGCTCCAGATTCCAGCACATCTTCATGATCATGTAGCTGAAACAAAAGTGAACCATACATCAAAACATTTTAAAACTTTTAATGGATTAATTACGCTGGAAAAAAATTAACTGATGGTATACATTTTCAGGGGCTTATATCCTGTGCGCTCGATTTTCACTGCTCAAATTCTGTGGTGTAAAATCAAGGAACTGTATGAAGCCAAATTAGAAAAATAAGGAGAGGCTTATGGAGGTGGTGACGCAGTTTGATAAGAGAGACTCGTTCATAAGAACCCCTGCCCCTCCAGTCTCATTTTGCTGCCGTGAAATAGCAGTTACATGGCTTCCTAGCTTCGAGATCATGTGGCTAACAGGCAGAACTGAGGCCTGACTCACAGCAGAACAACAGATGATTAGGCCCTGACTCAGATTCAGTCCCAAGCGTTTCCACAGCACAGTTATTCCGGGTGGTGTGACAGCCATGCCAAATCAGCACACACAGATGTTAGGCCTCTCTGAGATACTGGGAAAAACACTCTCTTTATTTTCTTATTTTGGTGGCTTGTAAAGTTGGGAGTTTAGGCTTGTTATGTTTTGAGTTTGGGGTTAGGAGATAACCCTAAGCAAGTAAATTAAACTCAGGAATAATGTGAGTGGTTCATGAGGTTACCTCATGTGTCAGTTATTTCAGATGTTAGATAGGGCCGACGACTGGAAAAGAAAAAGGGGATCTTTGTTCAGTCGTGATTAATTTGGGAAACATGCAGTTTGAACTGCCCAATGTTGGAGTCAACAAATCAGAATCAGCGTTTGTTTTTATAAATTAGTCATTGTTAAAGCTTTTATCAACTGAAATATTACTAGTTACAATTGCATGTTAGCAGCTGGTCTCACCAGAATAACCGCAACATTTATACCACTGTTTTTCAGAGTCTGATAAGTTGAGTGCTCACTATTGACTCAATTGTAAAAACCCAGCTGATAGTCACTTGATTCTCCAGTAAAACTCAACTGATAATCAGATGACACTAAGTAGAGTATTAACATTGGCTGAACAGAAAGTGTTTAAAAAAAGCAGCAGTGATAATATTTGTATGAACCAGAATTTATGTTGCTGAAGGGAGGAGCTTACATCTCAGGTGGGGCAAAGTCTGGTTGGGACATCTGGTAGCCACGCTTCACCATCTTGTAGAACCTGGAGTCCACAGCCATGCTGGGGTAGGGGCTCTTGCCTAATAGAGAATAATATACTCTAATTTTAGCAAGCACATCATGAAATAAATGTGTGTAAACGTAAGGCACATAGGCATGTGTTCTGACCTAAAGAGAAGATCTCCCACAGGAGGATGCCGTAGGACCAGACGTCACTCTGGACGGTGTAGACACAGTCGAAGATGCTCTCTGGAGCCATCCACTTCACTGGCAGACGTGCCTTCACACACAATGGAAAAAGCACAAAAAACGTCTTTTTATCTGGTCTCTAATTTGGTTAATGTGAAGTAAATATTGGATCTAATTTAATCTCGACTTACATTGCCCTTCACCACGTAGTTGGAGTCATTCATGATGTCACGTGCCAGACCAAAGTCACAAATCTTGGCCACTCTGCGGTCAGTCAATAGAACATTCCTAGCAGCAACGTCTCTGTGAATACACTGCACACACATACACATACACACAGTTTGTCAGGGTGGTAGTTTCATACACTATGACAATGTATGTACAAAATTTGAAGAATGTTATGAAATACTCCTTATAACTAAGTGAAGTATTTCACACCCATCGTTCATCGTATTCTATTAAAAGCCTTATTTTTTCATGCATATTTGGTTGCTTTTTTCTGGAATTGTTGTCTGGGTAATTCCCCTTTTCGAGGGACATCACAGCAGCTGCTGCTGTATATTATACACAGTAGTATTTTCTGTTTTAAGTGTTTGTCCATTTGAATTATTTCTGCGGTAAAATCACTCACATTTTTGGCAGCCAGAAAGTCAAGGCCCTGAGCCACTTGAAATGAAAACCTCAGCAAGTCATCAATGTCCAACGGCCAGTCAATAACAGTCTCCTCACACACAGAGTCTTGGTAAGAATCAGACAGAAATAATGTTAATAACACAGGAATAAAGACTGCTGATACCTTTATAATGACCTACTTTGTGTCCATTTAAACTGGGATCGGGTGAGAAGGTTTTTACCTTGAGATAATTCCATATTTGGCAGCTGGCTGGGTCTCATCTCCAAGTAACTGCTTGAGGATGTACTGGAGATCCCACTGTCACTGTTGGATGGAAAAAACAAGAGAAGAAAGACCGAGTGGGAGGTCAGCACACACAGATAACAGAGGTGTTTTTCCCAAATACTCCATCATGATATTGCACAAAGGTACCTTCTAATGAACTGTTTCTGATTGCAGATATTCTTGTAATCATTCGAGTTCTCCATAATATCAGGAATGTTCATAACAAAGTTCACAAACGTCTCTGCCTTCTGGCGAAGGAAGTTCAGGAGGTCGCCGAGGCTGCAATACTCTGTGATCACAAGCACTGGTCCTGATGAGGAAACACACCATGTTACTCTTTCAACAAAGTAAACATGTTTGCATGCAGATTGCTTGGCTTTGCTAGATTTCCCATGACCTGGACGATGGAGAACTTTCATAAACATGCTTTTACAATATTTTGATTTCACCAGATATAATACAGAACAAATACAGGATGCTGTCTGACCTCCATAGGTGCAGGCTCCCAGTAGATTGACAATGTTCTTGTGGTGTCCCAGGTGGCTCAGGATCTTCAGTTCAGACATCAGAGCTTCCCTCTCATCTGAATGGGCACTGGCTGCAGAAACACAATGCAGATTATCATCATATTATCATCTTATCTGTCATGTGAAACACATAATTTAGAATTTCACGAATTTCAAGTGACTAACTAACTAAACTCATGTGAACTGTTAAATTCAAGGTCCTGACATCAACTCACCTTTCAACATTTTCACAGCCACACGCATCGCATTATCCTTCTCCTTTCCCAGACCAAAGGCTGTAGCCTCAACAACCTTTCCGAAAGCTCCTGCACCCAGGATCTTCCCTGGTTAGACAAAAAAATACAACGAGAAAACATTTTGAATATAACCTAAACCAGATCTGTTATTCACAATCAAATTTCAAAGCGAAAATTGGTAGTTAATGTTCACTAATAATTTTGTAATAAAACATTTCTAGTACACAAAGTAACTGCAAGTGTTTAAAAAAGGGAGCATTCAAGTGCATTAGAGTCAGTTTAGGATAACATGGTGCAAACCTAGCTTCAGCTTGTCTCTTGGGAACTCCCACTTCTCATTGTAAGGCAGCTGAGTGGGGTCAATGAAGGTGTAGTTGTTTCCATCTCTTGCTTCAATGATCTTCCAACGGATCTCATACCTGGGTTTCTAAAGATGAAAACAGGAGCAGATGGTTGTAAACAACAAAAACACTGCACCTAGTTTGCCAGTGTCACATAGTAATTACCTTTTTAATTACACCTTACCTGCTTATATTTGTAAAACAGAAAAACCAGCAGCACCAGGAGGATGGCCAGAATGCCTGCTGCTCCAGTCAAAGTGGAAGTGAAGAGCTTGTCTGCACAATCAGAGAATAATCAGCATTAACTCATGGACTGAACCATGTATACTATATAGTGATATGAAATGTCGAGCTACACAAAATGAAACAATAGAATTATGCAACTTTATAAGTGTAAAGGGATCAGCTGACCATAATAACACGATTTCATAAAACCAGATATTAGATTTGGTTGATAACATTCATGTGACTGTACAATAACAAACTGAGAAATACACAACCTCACATCCTGAAAAAGAACAAATGATGATTATCCAGTACTCACCAGAAACCTCCATGGCAAAAGTGTCTCTGCTGACACCGACGAGGTTGAAGGCCACACACTCCACCGTCATCCTCCTGCTGGACGGCCCCACAGTGAGAACGCTCTCCACCTCCACAGCCCCGTACTCCTCCCTCTGGACCTCCACTGTAGGAGCCTGGAGAGGGATCGCCATCTGCAGCCCCGTGTGGTTTTCATTGCACCTGCCTCATTGCAAGACATATACAGTCAGCCAAAGGCCCCCGAAAATCAAATGAACATACTAAAACATTATATCCTTGCTCACTGTTATGGGTTAAAGTGTCGGCTAAATGGTTTTGAATTACAGTGTAATACACTGACTACTTACGTAGGTCGTATCCCAAAACACTGATACCAGATGATTCTGGGAGCAGGATAGCCATATGAGGTGCAAGTGAGTGTGGTTACGTTTTCCCATCTCACCACAGCAACAGGTCTCTCTGCCATAGAGGAGAAAATGATGGAAAACCAACAGTAATTATCAGATTTGGAAGAGACATACATTTTTCTTTTACTTGAGAGAACTGAATCAAGCCACAGCACCATGAATGTGTTTACTGGTTTGTGTTTATTATGTTACTTACGATACATTTGGACTTGAAATGTGATGGATGCATTGGCCAAGTCACTCCTGGCATAGAAGGTGTATTCCCCCTGCTCCTGTGCATTCATTCTCTTCAGCTGTAGACTAGCATGGTATCTAAAAAAAACCCCAAAAAGGATCTTTAAACAAAATAGAAAAAGAGGAATGTCTACAGAATCCATAGTGACTAATTCTGCGGTTTGAATTCATGCAGTTCCTCGTCTCATCATAGAGTCAAAACTTAAAAAGAGAACACCGGTCTTCCCTCTGGCAGCAGTTTCATGACCTGAGGAAATATATGACCTTGGTGTTCCCTGTCAAATGTACCCAAAATGCACTGACAGCATATGTAAAATTGGAGTAGCTTCCCCTTCCTGTAGTACACTTGATTGTTTGTTTTTTTTTAATTTAAAATTTGCTGACATCTTTGAGTAATGTGATGGAGCAATTGGAAACAACTTTTGTATGGGGTATCTTCTCCTTTGTCACCAGCACTGGCCTCTGTGTTGTACCTGTTGTTGTATCTGATGAGTTTGTGCTCCTGTGTGGATGTGTTGGGAGATGTTGGGGTGTGCCATCTGTGCTCTGTGATGTGGGGGTACGCTTCGATGAGCACGCTGAGCTCCAGATCTTCTCCCTCGTTCACTTCGACCGAAAGACCCTGATGGGCCAGTTTTGGGGACAGCTGGGGCAACAGTCTGATATAGGGCTTGTCTGTTTAGAAGAATCCAGAGTGCGTTTTCAGAGGGTGATAAATGTTCCAGGATTTTCAATTTGAGACATAGCAAGAGTGTTTGTGTTGCTTACCTACAACCATCAGGTATGTTGTTGAACTGTTCACCCCTGCTTCATTAGTGCCTATGCAGGAAATGTTTCCTGTGTCTGCGAGGTCCACAGCAGCGATAGTCAGAATGCTCTGTATATCCAGGCGATTTTCTCCACTGGAGCGAACCTTCTCCTCCACCGTTACTTTCTGAAGCAGGAAGAACAATTAAAATCAGACTTGAAATTATAATTACTACAACAATCAACAAAATGCCTCATACTGACCGACTTGGTGGTGTATTTCCAGGTGACATTGTAGTTGAAGTTGGGGTTGTGTGTTGTGCAACGAATCTTGAGTTCCTCCCCAACAATGCGCACATACTCATCCGTCTCCAAAAAGACATACGGAGGGAAACGAAGCTCTAGAGCAAGAGAAAATCATATATGAGTATCAAACTTGATGCACACATCAAATGGCTCTAAGACAGCTTTGGATAATCGCTCCTAACAACCAAGTGGTCTCACTCTGAATGACGTTGATGGAAAAGGCCTTGGAGGTTTTCTCCACTCCCTTGACCTTGGCTGTGCAGACATAGTCAGCATTGAAGCTGGGATGGAGGCTGTGGATGAGAATACCACGGTGCTTGTTAACCGTGTAGTTCATCCCTGGCGGCACGCTGGTGCCGTTGTCCATGCGGAGGCCCATGTCTGTGGCTGATTGGTCGGTCAGCAGGCAGGGCAGCAGGTAGTCTTCACCTTCCTTCCTCACAACCCGCAAGGATGTGCTGCTGGTCCAGAAAACGCGGTTTGGATCTAGTAAAGTAAGGGATGGAGATTTGTTAGATCATAGAACAATGGAAAAAATGGGAGATTTACTTAGAAAATCTGGTAAACAATCACAGAAAAGTATAACCAATGTGGAAACTGATCCATCCAAGCTCTAACAACTCAACATTATGAAGCTTGTCCTACTGGTCTTTACACAGAATAGTAGGATTCTTATTTATTAGAGCTCACCTTTTACATACACATGCACAGAGGAGGCCAGTTCACGGTGCTGCGGATCGGAGGTGTAAAAACACTTGTATGTTCCAGTGAATTCTGCAGAGGGACGTTCCACCTTTAAGGTTCGGACGTTCCCATTGCCCTTGGACACAAAGCGCCTGTGTTTGGCTAGCCTCGTTTGCCAGTTTACAGGCCCGTCCCCCTCACACCTCAGATCAAGAGAGGTCCCAGGTTCGACCACCACGTAAGAACTCCCTACCACCTGAGAGTTGAACTTGATTACCGGACGCCTCCATTCCGCTGAGAAGGAATTGAAATATTTATTAATTAGTGCTTTTATTGACTTTTTAGTTTACCTTTTTAATGGGAATTTATAGAAAGAAAAGAAAAGTGAGAACAAGGTAATCACCACGGGCTTTCTGGGTATTTTTTCTCTTTTCTTGATAATTCAAGACTCTGTTTCTGTTTTGGTCATGTCAGGATAACCGAGAACAGAGAGCTGTCTCGTCTGCGCCATGATTACGATTTATTTCGGTAGTAATCTCACAAATTCAGGAAACGGATAGAAGACTTGGACCTTCCTTCTCACTTCTGCTTTTTACCAATGTCGCTATCTCAGCAATGGGGATATAGAAACTGTAAGCATGCAAAGCTGTTACTGTTGTATTATTATTTAGGCCATCGTGTTCTACACCAAAAATAATGGATGATGCACATTCAAGAATTTTAAGCATGGAAAAGGGTGTAATATTTTTCAGGCATCTTTAAGGGAGAAACTGCTAAAAAAAAAAAAAAACCCTAACCCTTAGGGAATGCTAAGGCAAGTTTTAGTGATGAAGAACAGTGCTCTCTTTGATGACTTTTGTGAGGATTTGGAAGTTTGTAGAAACTTGTCTGGACAACCCCTTGCATCTTAGATTTTACTTAAGGTTGGACTTTTGTGAAAATTCCTGACACTGGATAGACGGATATGCCTTTCCTGTTAACCTAAAGCATTCTCTCGTTCTCATCACCCTTTCGGTAAAGGTTATAAAAGTTTCTATTTAGAGGCTTGGACAGTGTGTTTTGAAGCTTGAAGCAGAACTGAGATTCCACGATCAGCATTTTTTGTATTCACCACAGTACACAAGATAATGTAGCGGAGCAGGAATGAAAAGTAGTTTGAAACCAATCAGCATTTTAGTTCTGAACCTCCTGATTGTCTGCGTAAACAGTTGCCTTTCCTTCAAACTCCTTGTTCAATCAACCAAATGAACTATTTATCCAACCTCAAAATGACCCCAATTACACCTCATACAGTAATCCACCAGAAAGCAAAGCTAATTCACTCAGCCATAATTAAACCAAACAACAGATGCTTTTATGTGCTCAAATGCAAATACATGAAATTGCAATTTGATGCTTGGCGGGTGATACCCATATATGTGGTGTTTAGAAGCCAAAATCAAAATAGGAAAAAAAGAGAAAGAAAGCATCACAAGAATGACCCCAAAACAACTCATGATGCTGCAGACAATTGTCCTGCTGATTAAATAGTGTGCCTCAGATGGAGAGTGTTTCTCAGCTCCTCTGCACTGACCACGAGTTTATGCCATGAAATGTACGATGAAATCATAAGAGTTTTGTACATGAGAGGTCATGTTTAAGTATGTTTCTTTAGCGTATTACATAAATAATCGGTTAGTTGTGGTGTAGACAAGTATGTTGTTTAAGAAATATAACTTTCTGCAATTGGATTTAATTTAAAACTCAATGTTTGCCAAACCGTTTAAAGCTTTCTACATAAGACAAATTACTATTTTAATAAAAATCACTTCAGCATTCTTTGAGTTTCTCCATTTGCATTGTTTCCAGATTTCCAGATTACACATTTAAATCTCCAATAGTGAATAAAACAACACAAATAAAAGACACTACATACACTGCAGCTCTAGATTTAACAGCCAGTGTTTGTCAGGCCTTACCTGAAGCCGCAGAGGCCACAATCCCCATCAGCAGAGTGAGGTAGGACTGCATCCTGGATCAACTTCAAACCTGCAGGTTGAATGTTGATGTGTGTGCTATGAAAACTCTCTTCTTTTGATCTGTGGCATTGGAGAGAGAAATGAGACCTCTGAAGTTGTGCTATCACTCATCCCGCTCAACTTCTCTTTTCTGTCTGGTCAGAGCATTGCCCGTAAAAAAAGAATCTATGCTAAACAAAAATACACTAAAATCAGGAAACAGACTAACATATGAAATACTTTAGGAAGCATTTCATGATTAGGATTAGGGAATTAATAAGTCACTACACCTCAAAATACAGCTGAAATATGCAGTATGGAAGCATCACTCATTTATTTCAAATGTACTCACCTGTAGATGTCTTCAGCCTAACAGAAGGGTACGAAAACTTCCCTGGGTTTGATGTTTCCAGCATCCAGAGCTGACTCAAGAGTCCCTTCTTCCTTTCTGTTTGCCTCTGCCCTTCTTCTCCCTTCTGCTTGTTTACAGTCTCTTCACCACAGAAGTCACACAGCAAACATGAAATCTTTCAGACAGCAAGTGGTGGAGGGTGGAGGGAACTGTGTGTGTGTGTGTGTGTGTGTGTGTGTGTGTGTAGGGGGAGGCGGATCAGCATATCACGCTCAACAAATTAATGAGCCAGTGCCAATTTGCTGCAGAAAGGCGCAATTCTCCTGAGACATCCGTTGAGGTGAGACTAATCATCTCCATCACTGTTAAACCATGGCTGCCAGGCTTTTTTAGCCGGCAAAGCGTGGACTCGTGGGAGAGGGAAAAAAAGTCAAAGGGCTCACAGTAATCTGACCTAGGAATCAGAAAAAAGCACTGAGAGATAGTAGAGTGAGAAAAATTCATTATGGATAAGTGCAGCTTCTTCCAAGTAAGTTATGGAAATATTTTTCAGATAAATTCAGCTAACGATTTAGCTTTATGTTAGTGAGACCAACCAGGAATATTTTTCAACCGGGATTAGTGTTTTTAATTCTTTAGTTTTTGTATTTTTTAATTTTGTTTTATCAGTGCAAAAGACAGCTAGATGAGAGCCATAAAATTCACATGATTCATAAAAGATTCACACTCTCAGTGCTACTATGATAATACACATTTATTGTCACATTTACAACATATAAAATGGCACATATAAAAAATACATTTGTAAACGTTAAGAACTGCTTTGGTACCATAGCTTGTGATACAGTGATCTTGTGCATTTTAAATTGCTACAGAAAATTACAATGTGTTGTTTTATATGGTGGACTAAGTATTGGAAGTTGAAACTTTGTGTAAGTGAATGTTATGCAATGCAACAAAAGACTAAAAGCATTATTTTTTAAATGTACACATATGGCTATCTAGGTCTCTTGAGTACAGTAGCCCTTTATATCAGCAAGCAACAATAGCTGCAAGACAAAAATCTGTCAGTCTATATACAAAGGCACTCGTGTGCCATCTTGTCCTATGGCAGTGATACGCTGTGTTTATTATTTTCACCTGTCATCACAGAAACTGATTTACTATGACAGCCAAATGTCTAAAGTCGATCCTCAGTTGAATTATTATATCTTTATTGAGTAGTAGTAGTATATTTATATTTTCATTATGAATATCCACATTTTTTTCTAAATAAAGTGCAAATCTGGCACAGAACTATGAAATAAACCTACATAAGACAAAAAATGACAAACAAATACATTTCATATAATTCTCACAAAAAAGAAAATGGCATATGTAGCTAAAGAAATCATTTTTCATAGTAAAACAGTGCATGTAGAATCTGTCTGGATTACAAGTCATTTTACATAATACTGTGAATACAGTTGTTGGTCGTACTTACGGTAAGGAAAAATCGCAACAAGGTTTTAATTCACTTGCTAACGAAACCGTGAAACCATGACCAGGCATGGAGGCCGGGGTCATCGTTTCAGGCATAATTCCAATTACTTACACTAATGTGAAGTGTTATATTGTTCTTGTTTGGACAGTATTTTGTTTTCATGTGTCTAAATTTGTTTATGGTTTGTTGTTTTAGTGTTGTGTAAATCATTTTGTGTTTTTAAAACTAATAAAATTATTCAGAAAAAAATAAAACAATTACCCGCTTTTCTAAAAATCAACACTGTGAACAGTAAAGGGGGGATAACGTAGTAACAGCCAAAAAGGGACATATGGCTATCTATTCTAATAAGGCTTCATAAGTCTCAAATGGAAAAAACAAACAAACACAGCTTTACTTACTGTAAACTAATTCTATAGGAGTGTGAAAAGAGTACCGTATTTATATTGTGGCAAGCCAATAACTCCAATAACTGACTGGATGTGAACATCATGCTCAATATTTCTAATCAGTTTGTAGTTTCAGAGGTACTAAGTGTGATACAACAACTCAACGAACGGCAAAACTTTTCGAGTGCTTAGTGGGAATACAAAGATTGCCTTCTCAGTCTCAATTTTGCTACATTCTACTTTAGTCACGTTCCCTTTTTCAGACATGTTCAAAAAACAAAGAAATTCCCAGAAAAGATCTCTGTTTTCTCAGGGGTTCCCACATGTGGCTACAGGAAACTGTCTTCTACCTCGGGCGTCCCTGAGAAGCCCAGCAGAGCGTCTCTCTCGCTGGTCTCCTCCAGCCTGTCCTCCTCTGGAAGAGTGTCAGCCGTGTCCTGCGACATGGAGTCCGTCTCCTCCTCCAGAGCCAGAGAGCTGAGGGCAGGAAAACATCACACAACTTCACACTGTGCACTCAGTCACATATGAGTCACAGAAGGACACACCACACAGTTTTTATTAATGTCTCTTTGTGGTGCTGGTCTTGATCTTCCCTAATTTTTTTTATCTTCCTTCCAGCAACCACAAGTCATTTTTAACTCAAGAATTATACTACCCCATTTTGACTTTTTGCTTGACTTTTGCTTCAAATGCCTAGCATATCAAGAGTGCATATCAATGCAGCTCTTTGTATAGAAAGATGTTAAGTACTCCCTGTGTACCGCTTACACTTACATATACTCTGCAACATGCAGTATATTACTAGGACGAATCAATTTTGCTGCCAAATTGATAATAGCAATCAATAATACAAGAGGCAGCACTTTTTACATCCATATGATGTTAAAGTAATTAAATTAGTAAATATAGTTTAGAGGGAAATAAGTGAAACTAACATCCAAAACTCAACTATTGTCATTCTTGATTCATCTACCGATTATTTACAGTCTGGACCAACAGTGCCTCTCTGTTTTCTTGCATAAGGGGGCAGAGACCTCAGACCCAAATCACAATGTTAAAGGTCTCATCCAAATGTAAGCAATAAATTCGCCCCACTGCCAAAATTCAAAACACAGGGTTGGAATCTGCTATCACTCCCAAACTGACTGACAAGGTCTCCAAGGTAACTTTGATTATATGTGTAAATATATCTTGATTTTGTATGGTGAAACATTTATTTAACCTTTAAAGCCAACTTGCCTTGCTGCATATTTATATATGCTATAAAAACATGCCTTCGTGTCGGCCTCCAGAATACAGCTATTGTCTCCACTCAACATCTGGATGAGTGGGTGTGTGGTGGAAAAAACACTGCTCTTGTTAACCAAATACATCCTCATCTTTCTTGCAACTCCAGCATTTGGCACACATCTGCAGCATCTTTTTCTCCGTACCTTGCAGGGCTTTCCGATGGCATGTCAGTGAAAACTTCCTCCGGCTTGGGGTCTGGGATTGGAATGATGTATTCGTTGTATGAAGTTATGACTTCCTGTGTCTCTGCCTCTTGTCTGAATTCTCCAGGGCTTTGGCTCTGGTTGGAGGGGTCTGAGGGGAAGGAGAGGGTGACGGGGGATGGGGAGCCAAATGCTGGGTTGGCGATCGGAAAGGGCGAGGAGAGACGGGGTTTGGTGCGGGCCACTGCTGGGTGGTCACTCTTCAGGAAGTTCTCATTGACTTGGTTGTATCTCTGTTGTCAGGAGACAATCGACCATCGGGATTATTTGAGAAATGGGGAATGTAATTGATTAACAGTTTGTGAGCTTGAGATCGCAGGGTGTAGATATAAGACATTGCTGACTAAACTATTTACTTTTGGAAAGTAAATCAGGGAGGATATCAAACTGGTGGACAGTGTGTCTACTATGTGTGTTATATATACTGCAGCTACATAGCTTACATGCAAACATAACCGATATAACATACTTTATATTCAAACATTTAACACTATTAAGTTGTTATCTAACAAGTATAACAGTATCATAGACAAGAAGTATCCCCCAGAGGTGGAAAAAGTACTTAGATCCTTTACTGAAATATAATCAATAATACCACAGTGAAAAAATACTCTTTTAAACGACAAAAATACTTTTAAATTTACTTTTACATAAGTATTATCTGTAAAATACTACTTAAAGTATCAGTAATAAGGTTAAAGTACTTATTTTGGAGTATTAGATTATTGGATTATTACTACTAATGGATTAATGTGTAAGAAGAATTATTATGTTGCAGTTGGTCGAGGTGGAGTTATTACCTTTCTAGAGTATCTTTTTCTAGTAGAGCTCCCCTTTATATACTGTTAGGAAGTGTAATCTGTTCATTTGATCATATGTAATCTGAACCTGCAAAGTAACTACTAACTATAATGGTGATATACATTTAAAAAAAACATTTTCCAAATGGAAATATCAAGGAACTTACAAGTACATCATTGTACTTGAGTAAATGTATGTTGGCCTGGTTTCAGTATCTGAGTGATTACCAGGCCTCCAACCAGCCAACAGGGGGCAGACAGGCTGTGAGTGAGTGAATAAATGAGTAGTTGAAGGAATTGGTAACTGGTACATGACCTCATCCCAGTATAATATAATGTCTGAAGGTCAGCAATATGTGATACAGTGTTACAAGTCCACACTCACTGTTTAATGCAACACTGATAAATAAAGTACCTTTTTATAGCTATCTGTCAGCATGTTCCCCACACTGTGGACCAGAAAGGAGAATTCAGGCCTTTTCTCAAACTTTTCGTCCCAGCACTTCTTCATGATTTCATAACTGCAACATAAACAACATAACATCAATTAATTTTTTATTCGACATTTTCATCTCAGAGTTACTGGAGGGGTAACATTAATGGCAAGATTACAGTGAGACTCACACTTCATCAGAAGCGTGGGCCGGTTTGGCCATTCGATAGCCTCTCTTCAAAGCGCTGTAGAACAGCTCATTCATGGGCAAATCAGGGTAGGGGGTTCCTCCTGCAGGAAGCATTTCAAATCACTTAAAGGCTAACCAAGAGATCAAAAGCCATGCACAGGCTAGAAAAATACTAGATTTAAATGTAAACTGTAAATGTAAACAAGGATCAATCACAAATCTGAAGACACGCACACTTCAAAATACGGATGAATAAAAATTACATTGTCTTAATCAATAAGACAATTGACATGAGAAATTATTATCATTTATTTTTGGAGGAGAATGCACTGACACTATAAAAATCTTTTAAAGATCTAAAAAGTCCAATGAATGTCAGATTGAGACAGGGAAGCACAGAGAATCTTTGGTTATCACTTACAGAGGCTGGATTGTGAGTTTGTTTTTCACCACTAGGGCTTATGCTACATATGCAATAAACTGTCTCCTTTGTTTTCATGGTAGTTTAAAAAAATCGTGGGAAGAGGCTTTAAAAAAAAAAAGCTCACAATACCCTGAGCAAGGAAATGCTGATTTCAAAGCTTGACTGTGCCTAATAAGATTTAGACCTCATATGAGGCTTCAGATGAACAACTATATACTTGCAACCAGGAATTAGAAAATTTGCATTAGCTTTCCATACACACATTTATTCTACATATAGAAACATATTTTCATAATTTACAGTTTACCAGAAGAGAGCAAGGAGGAGTCTGGGAGTGTATGTAACTTCAAAAATTAACAAGGAGTTCAGCAGGTGAAACATCCTACAATGTGACCTATATAAACAATTAAAAAAGATGAATCCCTCTTCTGTGTGAACCAGTTCTGGTTCAGATTGTGTTTATCTGGGTGAATGTATGTGTGCATGGACTGACCAAGTGTGAAAATCTCCCAAAGAAGAATGCCGTATGACCACACATCGCTCAGGGTGGTGTACAAATTATGGAAAATGCTTTCTGGTGCCATCCACTTCAAGGGAAGGAAGGTCTGAATGAAAGAAAACAAACACAGAAACACAGAAAATAAAGAGATATTTTATTAGTTAACAGTCAACCAGGTTAAGAGTCCAGTTTGCAGTTATTTGCTGCCATTGCGGATGTTTTTTAGTTACAGTAATATTTCATTTTTGGTTTTTTATATCCGTTACATTACATTCAGTTTGCAGTTGCTTTGCTCCACTTAGAAGTGCTTGTTTTTTAACCTTGATCTGTGCAGTGGTTTTGCTACTTACGCTGCCTTTAGAGATATAGTTGGAGTCATGCATAATGTCTCTGGCCAGGCCGAAGTCACAGATCTTCACCAGTTTGCCCTCACAAATCAACACATTCCTGGCAGCGAGATCACGATGGACGCACTGTGGTGAAATAAAATTAAAATTGTTGTTTTAGCATTTTGGTTTCTGTGTAGGTTAAACAAGCAAGACATAAAGTGTTAAATAGTTAGCTTTAGAGTTACTGGTAGGTGTTTTTAGTTTATCTTCAGACGCTTCGTCCCTTCCAGGCTACTGTAGAAACACATATAATACATTCTACATGGCAACCTCCATAGAAGAGGATCCACTCCCTCTGTAGATAAACTGCTCATTCTAACGTAACGAAAACAAAACAATCTTTATTTTAAGGTGATTATACACTAATGAAAACATACCGAGGAATATTATATTCCATTTCTACCAATAAATCCTAGTAAATGTTACACACTGGTCCTTTAAAAGGAAACAAATTCCCAGTATCTGGAGTCTTGAATCAAATATCCCTAGCTACATATGGTAGAACACTAATCTTCATATCTTACATTCTTAGAGGCGAGGAACTCCATCCCTTTTGCAACTTGGTAGCTGAAGCCCAAAAGATCATCATAGGTAAGAATGGGAGAGTCACCGATGGCCAGGTCCAATCTACCGCCACCTGAACACGATGACAAGGTGAGATGACAAACATAAGAACAAGAGAAGGTGGGGAGCATCTCGTGAATGAAGACACTGGCTTGTTGTTGGGGAAACTCCGGCTGTCCTGTGACTGCATGGGTTGAAATGAGGCTCATGCCCTTCATATGCTGTAACATTTGTCTGTACATTTGCTCTGGTCTGAGATCAAAAAGCAAACTGTCCTTGATTTATGAGGCTAAAACAAATTATCTGTTCATGATTCATTGCACTATTTCAACATCACAGATTAAAAATATCACTTTTCACACATAAATACAGGGGAGTTCCTCCACTGGGAGCAGCACGCAGATGGTTACTGGTTGACCTAAATCCATACTGTGTTTCCCACATCATACGGTACTTCAATTGTATCTCATTCTTCTTTGTTTCCTGTGTTCAGTGAGCTAAATTATTCACACTTGTTTTCATTACAACTCTGGCAAATTGATTATTGTCAATATCGACACACACGTGGCTCAAGTCAAACCTTGTTCCTGATAGATGTCCTGCTGGTAGGGAGACTCGTATGGAGAGGGCTGGATGTCTGCATACTTGATGGAGTCTATCTGCTCCTGCATGGGCACGTAGACTGAGGGCTCATCTTTACTCATGTCCATGTATCCTCCATCACTCTCACTTCCGAAAGACACATAGCTGGAGAGATACATGAAGTGTGAAAATGCACTGAAACTCAAGCTAAATCCATATTTATTCATGGTTCTTCATCATATCAAACTCTATATGAGAAAGGAATCTGTGGCTGTTCCCTGGTACGTGACAATAAAATGAAGATGGGATACAAAATGCTCCTTTGTGCAGCACTGAATGGATATTTTGTGCAAATTGTTGGTATTTTTTGTCCGTTCTTCTCACCCTTTCCTCTGGCTGAGCGGAGTGCTTCCTCCAGAGATGAGGCAGCCACTGTCTTGGTTCTTCTCAGCGTAGTACTGCAGGAGGCTGTGCTTGTTCCTGTGCAGGTAGTCCACCAGGTCGCCATAGCGGCAGTACTCGGTCACCAGATACAGAGGGCCTGATTGGGAGAATTTGAGAATTGCCAAACACTAATGAAACATTAACCACAGGCAAGGCACACTTACTCTTCAGCAACACAAATGAACATTAACAAGAATATTAAGCTAAATTAGGTTAAATGTTTAGGAAAGCCTTGATAATAATCTTAACTAAAAACAGGGTTAATTAAATGAATATAAATTTGATTTAAAAATGTAAGATTAGTTGATAATTAATTTTATACATTTGTAACTTAAATAATATTGTATAAGGTAAGTTATCCAATTATATTTCTGATATATTCATAAATAAATTAGATGCTGTCAAAGCAATAAAGTTACTTTGTATGAATTAATAAACAATGTATATTTGTAAAGTAAATATTATGAGAGACACATTCATTCATTCCCTTTAAAGAAAGTGCTCACCACTGATATAAGATCCTGTTAATACAGAAACAAACAATAAAAAATGACCTAATTATCATATGTATTAGCACAGTGTAGCACTGGTGCTCACCATGTTTGGTGCAAGCTCCTAGCAAGTTCACAATGTTGAGGTTAGGACCCAGGTGACTCATGATCTTCAACTCTGACATCAGAGCCTGAGTCTCACTCCTCCTGGCTGTGGCTGGATGAAGTGACAGAGAGAAAGAAAGAGAGAGGTAGAGGTAGGTATGAGAACAGGGGAACCAAACATACTGAGATCAGGACACGCTGCATCCTTGCCAAACTGCTCAATGACCTGTTGGCTGAAACTCGAACCAGGCTGGCAACCAAACTAAAGCTCAGCAGGCTGCCGCTCTCTCTGCGCTCACAGGAATATGGCTCTGATTTCACAATATTTGACAGCTATACACAGGGGACTCTACTGTCGCCTGCACATAGCTTTCTACTGTGTTTTTACATTGTATGTCTTACATTTCAGCATTTTCACAGCTACTTTTGTGCTGGACTGGGAATGAGTGAGACCATACGCAGTTGCCTCGACCACCCTGCCAAAGGCTCCTGATCCAAGAGTGCGACCTGAAACACAAAGAAAGTCTCAGTTGGACAGAGTGTGAATGGAGCACATGGTAGAGCTGAAAAGGAAGGAAGAACCTCTCTGGTCATTAAAATATTAGAACAAATTTCTCTGGTGATATCTGAAACTGGCTTGAACAGGTTCTAACAGACAGTCCAGATTGCTTTCCCGAAGGCCTCAGTGAATTCAGGAAGCTTCCTGTTTGTAAGGAGCAGCTGACTACTGACAACACATCAACAACAAAATCTAAAAAGAACTTTAAAAATGAGGTGGGATTAGAGCCAAGAAGACAAGTTTAACAAACTTAGTATTCAAGGCTCAACTTCGCCCAGACGACCCAAACCACCCACAGCACTAAAGTCACCTGGTGATAGCTCATTTGTTTGCTCTTGTCTGAGCAACAAGCAGACTGCTGCCTTAAAGTCTGTTTACTCTGATATTAACAATTAATAAATTAATCAATAATAAAAGGAGGAAGCAACAAAAAAAGTAAGGGAATCATTCAATATATCAAGTTCGTTAAATAAAACACAATTTAATCGAAGCAATAAAAAATAAAATTACATAAAAAACAGTAATTTAACATGTAAATAAATAGATATTAATTCACCTATCATGTATCCCAATGCAGTCTGCCATGTAAATGATAATAAAGCTGGGAAAAGGAAACTAAATGATAAATTAAAATGCAATCCCAATTTTAATTGCTTTACATTCTTAAATGTATTATTTAGGCTTGATTACTATAAATCTGTGTTATCTACATATAAATTAATTATGATAGACTTATTACTTTTATCAGTTGTTCTTTTTGTTGTCTCATTCAACGTCAAATGATGAATTGTTTTTTAATAATTTCCAGGCCTCATTAAATACTTTGTGTAATTTGCAAAAATCTATATTTTTGACTTGGCTACTACAAATGTTAAATGCATATTGTGGCAGCAAATCAAACTCAAGGTAAGTTAATTTGTACAGCCTATGTCTGTCTCACTGGGATTCACAGGTCCACATGAGCACCTCTTCATGCTATCCTCTGTCCCTGTTTTCCCAAGGACTCACCCAGCACCAGGTTGTCTCGTGGCATTTCCCAGGCCAGGTCATAGGGCAGGTGGATGGGGTCCACATAGATGTACTCATGACCGTCCTGGCTCACAGACTCTATCACCTTCCATCTGATCTCATAGCGAGGTTTCTGAGAACACCAAAAAAAAAAAAAAAAAAACACACATGAGAAGAGAACTGAAACATCAAAATGAAAGACCTCTTTTGTGCATTTTAATTCCCTACATGTTGAATTGACATAAGACTCCTGAAGAGGAACTTTAAAAAATTGCTGATGGTTTTACCTTCCTCCATACAGCGATGAGGATGATGATAGACATAATAATGATGGCCACTAAGGCCAAAACAGCAGCCAATACTGCCACCTGGGAGAACAGTGCTGTAACAGGAAAAGGGATACAGAGCATTAGCCAAACATTTAACTTAGATGTCTCAAATTCTAAACAGTCATAAAACTTCACTTTATTAACATGTTGGCAATGATTTTGCAAAGGAATTTACAGCTAGACTGATATTTATAGCTTAAGTACAAATACACACATTTTGTCTTATCTTACTGTTTGGTTAAACCTTTTACTGTGCCTCTAAAATATAAACTTTTCACACCTAAATCTTGTTTTTTACCAGACCACCATATGTTTGTTTAGTTGAACCAAAATGTGATTTTTTATTTGATTTTATTTATTATCATGTTTGAACTATTGAATAGTAAACTGGTACATTCAAAGAGTAAACATAGATATAATACAATTCCCTTTGGACACGTCCTATAAATGACACTGATGTATAAAAAACACTAAAATGGGACATTCTGCCATTTTCACATGACACCTACTGCTGGACACGAGTTTGACGTCTCTTTTGTCGACGAGTCCTGCTGGGTTGCTGGTCTCACAGCGGACTGTGATCTGCTGGGGCTTGTGGAACGTCACCTGGCTCCGCACCTGGCTGGTTTTACGTGTCTCACTGAAGCTGACGTTGGTCTGGATGGTCAGTATGTCTGGCTCTGGTATCAGTGGCTGCCACATCGCTGTCTGGTTGCTGCACCTGCAGGACAGGAGATCAGCAGGTGGAAGTTGCAGCAGTGCAGAGTCAAAAGCAGATGCACAGAATTTGAAAATAAAATACATTTCTGTGTATGTATCCCCCTAATGTTTGTTATGTGACAGTTCAAAGATAAATGTGTGGTGGTGTGACTTACTTGAGCATGCTGTCGCAGCTGTACCACTGTATGGTCGGGGTTGGGACCCCCTCAGCTACACAGGTCACCAAGTGTCTCTTCCCAGGGAGGTGGTGGTCCGTCAGGTCTTTAATCTGAGAGGGAACTATACACAGGGGGTGCAATGGTCATTAATCATTACTGACATGGATAAAAACAGAGTCTGTCTGTGTTTTTGTTAATGCAAAAACATTACTTTCAAATAGTCTGTGCTTCAAGATCAGTAATATGCTTTAAGAACTAAAAATAACTAAAAACAGTATACAGAGTTACTGTGATTATAAAGTTTCTTAAAACAGCCTCTCACCTTGGACCTCCAGGTCAAAGGTCACTTCCTTTATGTCATCTCCATTTGTGACAAACACGGTGTAGAGGCCCTTCTGCTCCACCCTCACCCTCACCAAAGTGAGAATAGTTACATACCTGAGGTAGAGGAAATGTGGACAAAAAAAAATATGACTATTCAGTGCTCTCCAATATGTATGAGCTGCCACATATTTGTCATAAAGGTTGGAGAGTAATGAATATATAAAAGATGGTTGACAGGACGCAAAATATTTGATTGGATCTACTTTTACATGCAACAGACAAAATGAGACTCAGTACTTCAGCAAAGTGGAAGAAGTTTTTTGTTGCTTTTTAATCAACATAAGATGTTCTGTGTTGTTCATGATGTGCTGACTGACTCAGTACATGAGGGTGGGGGTAATTTCAGTAAAGTTTACTATAAAAACTAATTATAGTAATTATAATTGATGACATTTTTAAAATGGTATTTCTCTTTCTTTTTTGTTTGTGGGCAAAGGCTTGGTTGATTTTGTTTAGCACATGGATGATATTTCTCTTTGACTTTCACTTGAACTTTTTTGAATTACTTTAAATGCGTGTTGGCAAAAATGTAAAAAACATGGCGCTGCAATTAAAAACTGTTAGACAGGTTATTTTAAAAGACATTTATGAGTTGTGACAGGTATCTTGTGTTTATGGTTCCAGTGTGATGAATGATGGAGTCCTGCCCTCTGGAGAGTATTAGGTTTCTCTCAGTGGAGGCCTTATCTGGTGATGACTGACAAGAGCTAGATGCCTCCGGAGGCTGTCACCCTCAATGAGGTCCAGTGCTAAATGTTTAGATGTAACTCATATGAGTATATTCCTGGATGTCTCACCTAATTTCATGCTCTTGTCTAGTTGTGATGGTTTTGTCTCCCTTGATGATGGCGCCGTCTTTACTCCATTGGACCTGAGGTGGAGGGTAGGCTTCAATCTCCACTCTCAGCTCCACGTTCTCTTGCAACTTGGCTGAAATGTTTAGTTTCTGAGCAGGCTTCACATCCACAAAGCCTCGCTCTAAGGAGGGAAAATAATATCATCAGCAACATAATTCTCGTCAAACATTTGATTTTCTGCACAAATAGTAGAAAATACAAATCGTATATATATTGCAATAAAAAAATTTAATTAACCATGTATTCCTACATAAGTCTTCAACCTGCAATAACGTTTCTTGACACTTGGGGGCAGTGGAAACAATATGTGAAGACAACACTGACATATATCACCTTTTAGCAACATGTTAGCAAACAGTTGCCTAATTACACATGTACAAGACACTGAGCCGCAATAGCATTAATTTGAGAAAAATATTCGTCTGTTTAGCTGCTAAATGCTCAACTAGTTATTTGCTAACTTTGTAGTGTACAGTGGGTTTTTAGAGCTTTTTCGCATAAAATGGCTGCGGCCAAAAACAACGATGATATGTAATATATATATAACCAGGACAGTTTCAGGCCCTAAAAACAAAACAATAAGCTAAAAGTAGCTATAAAGCTCCATATATCTGAGAAGATTCGTCTGTTGATAATTCTCTGTTCATATACAAGTACTTATATGATCTGTTGATAATAGAAACATATTAATTATATTACAGTTATTTAACAGATTACATTGATTATATTCATGTTATTTTACTGGATAGCAGTGGCAGTGTACTGTACTGCTGCACCACCTTCTGTGGCCAGACAGCATCTGTCTTTTCCACTGAGATGTCCAGAGAGGACCACTAAATTGTCCTTGTCTCCATGGAGCATGGCGGTTCAAGTTATTCAAGGATTTCATAAACATAACACACCTCGCTGCAGATAGAATAAGCATTCACAGACGCAATGCATTCAGTGACTGACAAGAGGGAACGAGGAAGAAATGTTCAGTGTGATGAATCCTGCTTTCATTGGCTCTCAAATTGCTGCTTGCAATATCACATATTTGTTTAGATGATGGACGAACTGTGTGTTAATGGTTGAAGTCAGAACTCAGTTACACAAACATTAATTGTGTACTTGGAGTTTATTCCCAAAAGACTAAATATAGAGTTGCTGTACCCCCTGGTTTGAAGCTCTGTTTTTCAAGGTATCATTCATGGCATCCACACCATGACAATGGTTTATTTCACACTTTGAACAGAAATACACAGAAGTCATCTTTATTTCCTTTAAAAGAAGCACCTCAGTCACCTTGACCTGCAAAGGTTTACATAATAAGCAGTCTTCTCTCTGCCAGCAAAACACAATAATAATCTGTCTAGCATCAGTTTGTTTTAGTTTGGTGTGTATGTGTGTGGGTTACCCTAACCGAGAACAGTGATGTTGACCATGGCAGAGGCAGTCTGGTCTTGGACACCCTCGTGGACATGGCAGACGTAGTTTCCGCTGTGGGCCACTGTGGCACGGGGGAAGATCAGGCAGGACCGCATGTTCATGGCTGACAGGACGTCTGTCAAAGGCTCAACCTCCAAATCCTTAAAGAGAGAGGGAAATTATGTGACATTTTAATATCATGTTGAATATGATTGAAATTCTGCATAATGAGGCTTCATGAAATGAGGTGCTTTTTTCTTCAAGAAACTCATATTGTTTACCACACATTGGTGAGTGTTGCCAAATGTTGTCTGTTCTGCAGCAATGATCATGACAGATACACCCATTAAAATTAGGTAAAGCTGCCTGTTTAAGTCACTTCATTTTGAACAAACAAATCTGAAACTTGTGGAGATCTTCGTCATGATCCAAAAATGAACCCAATAAGAACCGAATATTACAATACCAACACCACATGTTATGAGAAGAATAGCACAGGCCGATAAATATTGAGGTGTGTCTCTACATCTTGATGCAATCTGGGCTTGATCATGAGGCCTGAGAGTGATCACAAAGGGAAAGCTGAACAAAAGCGCTTGTTCTGCTCTACTCCTACTCACCTCTCCGTTGGGGATATCCCATGAAAAATAGACTAGCTCCACTCCATGCACTGTGCAATTTACTGTCAGCGGCTCGCCCTGCTTCAGGACGGTCTTTGACGCATTGATGTAGGCGTCAATGGCCTCTGGGACTGAGACGGGAGAGTGCGGGGGAGAGAAGGAAGAGGTGGTAATAATGAGATTTATTAAAACAATACGTAGAAAAGTCTCCTTCAATACTAATCAATCATTGAACAAAAATAAACCCTGAATTTTTTAACTCAGTATTGGTCAGAGTTGAAATTGGAAGCTGGCTCCTATAGTTCCATCTCAGCAAACAAAAACTTTACATCTGCACAAATATCCAAACTGCTTGTGCAGCACTTAACTATAATTTGTTCTTGCCAAGCGATTGTACTCTGACACCAAAAGTCCAAGATTTACCTCATTATCAGCTCACTAAAAAAACTCCAGTAGCACCAGAGAGCTGTAAGGTGATCAAAGCATGTGTAATAATATGGGAATTAAATAGTTTTGGACTCACAGAGCAATACTTTGGCTACGAATCTTGTAGATTATGCTGCGTAAGGCGTTTGAAGACATATGATGGACATTTTATGGGTATTTTTATGGCTCTTTAAAAAGATAGACTCATTAACTTTAATAGTTTGGGTGTAGGCTGAGATTGAATTAAAGGGGACAACTCTGTGTGTGTTTGTGGGTTCTCAGGAGTTTCAGCACACATTTTTATTCTTGGAAGAGTTGTTTCTCGAACCAAACTTTTCAACGTGGGCACCTACCAACAATGCTGAAGACGTAGAAGGCCTGAGACTCTTTCACCTCCCCATTCAGTTCTCCGCGACACACGTAGGTCCTGTCTTCCAGCAGTGCCTTGTAGCCCTCACTAGCAACATAAAGCCCCCTGATGGGCAGATCGGTGTCCCTCTCATAAAGGGTGACATTGATGTTGGGATTGGTGACCACACAGGGAACGGTGCTTTCCTCACTGGTCTTTGTTACCATGCCGTGTGAGCTCTCTATGAACCACACATCTGAGTCTGTGGACAGAGATATGACTTCTTTAATCATCTAGATTGTGGATCACACAATTGTTGTGTATGTTTTCATACTTCATACTAATAGCTTTATAATCTTTATAGTATCCTGATTTTTACAGTTCACATTAAATCAGCATTTTCTACAAACAGAAAATGATATAATACAGGCTCAGTTTACTTGTGATGTTAACAAAGCAAAATATTTTTCTAGTGATATACTTATGAATACATATATTTCTGCTTTCCAAGATCTTCCTGGAGTTCTCCCACCACTGTTTTGTTTTCTTTAATTTGAAGATGTTTTGTGTTGCAGCTTTATATTGCATTGTGGGACAATAAAATGCTACAGCACACTCACAAATCAGTATGTTTTCAGAATTGTTTTAGCAGGCATGACTTTTATGGGTGTACTTTACCAATGAGTACAACCTACATACCTAAAACCTGCAGTTGTTGTTTTATAAAGGAGATAATGTTCATACTTGGTACAAGCTATATGACACTAAACAGTTCAGTAAGAGGTAAACAAACCAGGCCTCACCTGGGACAAAAACAGCCACCTCCTTAGTTTCTCCAGCATGTCGATCAATGCACTGATACACCCCTGTGTGCTTCCAGCTCACATTCCACAAGGTCAAAACACTGGTTGTGCCGCTGCTTTGCACAATTTGATAGCTCTGACCACCATTTTTATCTGGTTCTACTTGGAAGTAGGGCACATCATCCCTCTTGAACTCCCAGGTAGTCTCCCCTGAGCCGGAGCAGTTGAGGGTGACAGAGGAGCCCCTGAGAAGGACAAGCTCTTTGTCATCAGGTGTGATCTCCAGACAGCGCAACTCAGCGCAGAAATACAGGAGGGTTGCTGTTGACACAACAAGAAAAAAGGGTCAGGTTTTAGGTCACGGAGACAGCAGCATGAGGTCAAAGGTTAAAACAACAATACATGCCAGATCCTGGATAAGAGTTGTCTAGAGGGGATGTGTGGGAGGATGATGATGCCATGTTAGTGACAGATGTATTTAAAATAGTTTTTAATGCAGCTGTTGTCCTTTACATCAAAGTATTGTGTTATCTCACAGGCTGCAATGCTAATCAATAATCCAAAAAGATACATCATATATAAGTGCCCTTGACATTATATAAACTGTCCCCACAGTAAGCATAACTTTGTGAGGCAATGTTTTTCGATATGCTTAGTGGTAAAATACTCCACCTAAGCTTGGCATCAAGCTCTACGCTTCCCTGCAGAAGCACCTGTGATCCTGTTTCAGATTTTCATTTTTTTGTTTGTTTATTACACTTGTAAATTGAATTCTCACCTATTACTGTGACTGTCAGATGGAGCGTGGATGCCGTCACCCTCCTCATGTTCAAAGCCTTCAGTGCACTTTGTTCTGCTAACAAACAGAAGGGATAACAATGCTTGAAGTTTATGGTCGTTAATTCAAGAAACAAAGATCATTCTTTCCACAAAGTATTCAGTACAGTTCAGCGGAAATACACAAAACAACAGGAAAATCTAGTTTGTGTTCACCCCAACGGACACACAGCACCACCCCAGTTAACATCTCTCCATAAGGTTTCATATCACGATGGATTGGTTCCTGCCCTCATGGGCTCCAGCTGGTCAGGTTAAGTGAGAGTTTCAGTACAATCTGCTTGTAAATTACATAAAACTATGCTCTGCTTATTGTAAAAGAAACAAACAAAAAGTATTTAGTGTGTTGTCAAGCTGCTTCCTTTAATGGTTTCTGGCCGGCACACAGAGTCTGAGGTGCAGATGCAGCTCACTCTGGAGGTATTTGATGCCTCACTGCACCAGGACAGAGTGACAATGTCTGGCTCTTTTTGTTCCTGGTTCACCAGCATTCTGCCTACTAACAAACGGGTCACTGTGTGCAGCTTTGCAACACACTCACTGGCAACAATGCTGTGTCCAAGCTATTCTAGAGCCGTGCTGAACCATTAATTGGTTTTGGTGTAAACAAAAGTGAAAATGAGGGCAGTCACATACGCTGCTGGGACAGGAGGATTGGAATTTTGAACGGCTGCTGTGGTTTTGTAATAATAATGGGATATTGTACATATGATATCAACATCCCATAATTAATCTAAGAGTTATTGGGTTCAACGCTGCCTAATACTTAGTGTACCAACTTGCAATCCTCAACATTAACCAGTGTTAGCCAATTTTATAGTAAAGTAAGAAGGCATAAGCAAAGATTGAGGAGCGGTGGAATGGTTTGTTATTATGTTTAGGATGGGGGTTCAGGCCTGCAGCACACAAACGTCTGGAAACAGTTAAGGATGGATCACAGGCCTGTACGCAAGAAGGGTGGGAAAGAGAGAGAGGGCAGAAGAGCGAGGCTTGGGAAGAGCGAGGGTGGAGGAGGAAGAGAAGGAGGGAGGCAGTGGAAAAATTGTGAAATGTATCTTGCGAAATCTTACTCCATTTAACGCTTTTACTTGATAATGCAATCCAATTTTACAATCTCTATTTTAAGAAACTGACTATCTTTATCCATGATGTTATAGAACACATGTTTTAAAGACCACATCTCTCCATCTAATCTGAAACTAGTAGGAGTTACACCACCTTTTAAACTGTCTATAAAAGTGTATCAAAAGTATAAAAGAGATATAATATCTAATCAGTTTGGCAGCGGTGGTGAGGTACAACAAGTTTCATGACTAACCCAAAGCTGGTTACTCAAACCAGATACACGTTGTCTCTCTAAATTAACTGCCTTTGGCACTTCCGCTCCCAAAACGAAAAGCTCTTGAGTTGCTCCAAAAACATGACTGTTCCATTTCCTCCCCAGCCTCCTGGTTTCAATAAAAAGGGTGAAAGACAGACAGAGAGCAAGAGGCAGAGAGAGAGAGAGAGAGAGAGAGAGAGAGAGAGCGTCGCAGTTACATACATGCATACATACCTCCTTACTGGCACATAATACATGCTACATGCACTAAAACACCCATATTGCTGCACACACACATGCTGTATACAACTCCAACCCACCCCAATCTTCTTCACACACTACCAACACACACTGTGACAGCCCCTCACATGCACACACACAAATACACAGTCACTGGTGTCTGTGTACAGTTCATGTTCCCACAGTTTTTCTCTGAAACTTTCCCAGGACCGCTGATACACTTGGGACCCTGCTAGTCATGACGGCAGGAGCCATGGGGTCACCTTATCCCTGGGGGGCCCCAGCAGCCAGCAGCGAGGGACCATCCACTGAGGAAGCCATACATCAGCGCTTACAAGTACCAGTAACCTCAGTGTCAGTGATGATGACTTTGAGCGACAACAGCCAAACGCGGTGACGCCAATGGCATATGTCACTTGGCACCATGAGGACTAACAAATCTTATTGTGGCTGGCTGCTGATGTTATTTTTGCTAAAAGAAGCCAAAGAACTACATTAGGGCTACTGAAGGATACCGATTTACATCTGAGATCAAACAGAAAAAAAAAACCATTCTTTGCTGAACAAGAATCTTATTTAGGGGTGTTTGAAAAGGACGGAAAAATAACATTTGGCTACTGCAACACGATGAGGTTTAATGTTGACCGATGGGCAGTGGGGGACTCCGAACGGAGGCCTTTGAGAGGGAATCTGACCCTCAAGATAGGATGTGCTCACTAGGATCAGACGGCCAAAGGGAGCCAGTAGACCACTTCAAATAGAGTTTTGAGGGCGAACACTGTGGTGATATTTTGGGGTAGTAGTTCTAAACACTGTGGAAAACGTAGCTTGCTTCCGTGGTAATCTCTGTCCAGGTCAAGTCCTTGTGCGAGAAATGGAACATAAAAGAATATGAAGTGTTAAAAGGGTCACGACAATAGTGAATCTGCCAAGAAGGTTTGGCAGCAATTCAGTGACTTTGTTTCCAACTTAATAAAAACACTTGGTAGCAGAAGTTTGACCCCTAAAAACAGAAAGAAGCTCTTTGTTTGAACTGCAGAGACAACAGAGTGGTGTTGGAGACACCGCAGTAGGAAACAGCCACAATATCCACAAGTCAAGTCAAGTCAAGTGGTGGGTCTGGGGATGAGATCTTGCAGAGGGTCTTAAAGATGATTTAAAAGATCTGAAAAACATTTTTCTACCGCAAATGTTTATTGTTGTCTTTTTAATCTTTGAAATGGGATACTCCATTCCCACAATGATCGTGGAGGTCTGAAAAAAACAAACAGTATTTACGTGAGTGATGGGACAGTAATCACCATGACGGATAAACTGTTAACCCACTGTATGAGTTTTCCCACAGATGCTGGGAATTTGGTGGCTGATTGACCCTTGCCAGTTTTCATAAACAACCCTGCTACACTCAAAGTGTCACCGGCTAATGAGGAAGAATGCTAAAATCGACCTCAGCGGGACGTACGCAGCCCACGCTCAGGCTCGGTTCCACAGCAGCCTGTAATCCCACTTCAGGGATTATCTATATATACTGTAGTTGCATGTTTTATTTAAACATCTGGCAGTGATGAAGCAGTCCTCAATGAGGTGGGAACTGCTTTGTGAACTACATTTGCTGTTTGCTCCAGTGAGTCCCAAGGGGGGAAAGGTTCGGGGGAAAAAAGTGTAATCTATAACAAAAGAGAGAAAGATGTCCAAAAAGCCTCCCGAAGTGCAGCTGGAGAGCTCTGACTTCCTGTATGGGGAAATTCTCTGGCCTCGTGTGGGTGTAAGACGGTGATGCATCACTGACACAGCAGACCACCACAACCTCTAACCAAATACTCATGGAGACAACAAGAGACACCACAATGAGAAGAGGGCAAGCTGCACATAACAAAATGTGTACAAAGAGAGAAACTGCTTTAAATAACAAGCTGCAAAGAAGAAATGTAAATCACATTCAGAATCAAGGAAAAACAAGAACAAAGAAGGAGAAAACCCAAACAAAACAACATGCAAAAACAGACCAATTAGGCCAATGACAAAGCATGACAAACCATCGACACGCCGCAAGAATACTGCACACAGCACCAGACAGTGGAAAAGAGAGCAAAGGCAGCATGCAGACATACGGAATACAATTTATGGGAAACACCACATCAAAGCATAGAGTGGGACAGCAGAGGGAAGGCACACACAGTCTTACATCACAGACGTAATGTTTACTATACTAAAGTGTACAGGAAACTGTGATCTGTAAAACAAACATCTCTAGTTGTGCGGTCATTTCTTTCCAATGCAAACAATTATAGCTTAAACAAGACAGACTACGAACTAACGCTTTATCAGGACATGTAGTAAATCATGTCACTAGAATAGCTGCAGCGCAGAATAAATGTACATGCCATACTCGTCTTCTCTCTTTTTTAGAAGGATGTCAGGTTTTCTTGACATATCTCTGAACAGCCGGACTTTGGCGAGCTCTGTGGGAAAAAAATGACCCAGTGTGTCTTTGTTAAAACAAACCTCCATTTTTATCACTCAGCTTGGACAGACTAACCCCCCCTGAGGAAAACCTTCTGGTCCCTAGGCAGCAGACCCACGATGCACTACTCCCACCCCAGGCGGCCTCAATGTCCGACCCCAAACATGACTGATACACATACTGTACATTACCACTTGCAGGCTCAGAGTAAAAGTTTCAACTGGGACAGCACAAATGTCATCAAGTGTGGAAAGAAGAGAGAAAAACAGTAACACTTCTTGCGTGTGAGCCATCAGACGTCTTCATTTACGTAGAAATATCAGTGCCACACAATTCAGTTAGTTTTATCCGTTTTGTTAAAATACTCTATTTTACAAAATTTTGATTTGATTTTTTTTGCCACTTTGGGGCAGTGGAAACAAGCTGTGAAGGTAACACTACAGTAGCCAGTTTCCATCTAAATGTAGTGCAAATTTTAATCAAATTTCCAGAAATCAAGTCTCCAGTCGAATGCCATGAAACCATTGCAACAGAAGACGCTGCAACGAGATGACATAATTAAAAGATTAAAATCTCAAATGATTGATGTGTAAATAATGGAAATTACGCATTTACTGATGTTTTTATCTCTTCAGTTATGTTTAAGTCACAGGCTTCCTGTACGTCATGATTTGTTTCCGTTATCTGAAAGACGCTTTAACACTCTGTAGATCTGAGGGGATAATCAGATGATAATTCTCTGTGGTTTCTTCACTACAAGTGACCACATTTCCATAACACGCCATGTGATCCACTGTTAACACAAATATATTGATCAGATTTAATAAGAACCTCTGATGCTCTCACTCTTGACAGTCCTGGTCAAATGAAAAATATACATCGCCATCATGTGTCTGAAAAGAGGTCTTAAATGTTTATAATAATTAAAGCTCTGGATCACTTAGTACAAGTACATGTGCTCCCAATAAGAAGTTGAAGTTATACAGCTGGACACAGGACTTTGAAAATGTCTGTATCAGCCAAAAAAACTGCTTGTATCCTGTAACTTTAGAGCTTGAAGCTGCACTAAAACCATCTCAAATTTGCATTATCAGATTCTGGCGCATTGCGAAACCTCCCTCTGGTTTTATTTGGCTCAGCATTAGGATACAGTGACTGTGAGTGGTCTTGCCTACAACCAGAGTGACTCTGTACTCGTGCTGAGGCAACACATGTTTGGGAAACTGTAGGTCTTGGTTTGCTCCCTTTCAAACAGAGTTGTAAATGCTGTTTGTAGTGGTGGTGGGGGGATGTAAAGGGATTCTGGGTAAAACTGACGGTTGTAGAATGACAGCCTTAGATGTGGCTAGTGTTTGATATCAGTTTAATGATCTAATTTTCTACTCATTTGGGAAGGAAAAGTGATTAAGATATCAAAAACTAAAGCAGCTGTTTTCATTGAAGTCAATTTTTCCCATTTTCTTGGGCAGTAAATCTTTGGGTCTAACACTGTATTTTTTGTGTTTGCTTTGTCACGGCCAATTCAAACTCTTCCTGCTCATAGGGAATACAGGGATATCAGATATATTTGCTAGCATAATCTGCATGGTGCTACCCTCCTTTTTCCTGCCGTCCAATGAACACTTGAGCCCCCCAAACTACCCCGTGAGAAATGGAGGACGCCTACACACACTTCCACTCCCTCCACTCTAACACACCCACACCCACCTAAAAGACAGAAACAGAAACAGCTGAATACAATTAGGACTTACTGGCTTTAAATTCCAGTCGTTTCCCTAAACACGATAATGTTTGAAAGGAAGGGGAAATGGGGGGAAAAGAGTGACAGAGCATCATCAATCTGGGTGATAATTTATACTACATGTGCAGTTTTGCCATGTGTATGCAGTATCACTGTAAGCTCAAAGATGTCACCACTTACTCTGAAAGTGGCACATAACCATAAGCCAACCCGAGTCCAAATTTGTCTCTATTTTTGACTGTGTGGAATATTCTTATCTTGTAAAAGCAATCAACAGTTTTCCTTTGTCCTCCTCTCTCACAGCACTGTATCACCATTTCCAGCATGTTTTTTTTGGACCGAGGACAGTACAAACTCCAGAGAGAGAGAGAGAGAGAGAGAGAGAGAGAGAGAGAGAGAGAGAGAGAGAGAGAGAGATGCTTTAAAAGAATCTGATGGAAACCAAAACTTCCTGCTGAAAATATGTGTTTTCCTTATGCAATAAATTCAGAGAGAAGATTGTAATATCTTTCCGACATTGTACCCTTACAGGGGTGGAAGAAGTAGTCCTCAAATTTACTTGAGTAAAAGAAGTAATACCATAATGTAAAAGTAGTCTATTACAAGGAAGTCTTTCATTGAGAGTTTTAGCTGGAGCCTGCGGCCAGTTAGCTTAGCTTAGCACAAAGACTACAAACAGGGAGAAACTGCTAGCTCGAGACTAAGAAGTGCTGTCCCCCACTGTTCTCTATAACATTAACCAATAATGACTAAATAAGCAATGCTATGCAAATAAACATCCATAGTTCTCATTTATTAAGAGTTAACTACTTGGCCCCATTATGACTCTTTAGGTATGGTTTGATCAGAATTGATTAAGAGTGGGTAACGATTTGGTTTTGCAGATTTTGTTTATAAATAAAAATCTGAAAAGTAACTATCATCCCATGAAGTAAACAAAGTGGACAAATAGTTCATTATTCCCCTCTAAAATGTAGTGGAGTAGAAGTATTAAGCAGCATAAAATGGAAATAGAACCAGCACCTCTGCCAAACTTGAGTTACTTTCCACCACTCTGCCCATATGTTTGGACAGCTTCTCGGTAACATGTTAGAAACTGACACCTTTCTGTGCATTATAAGACTGATTTCCATCTTAAAGTTTGGTAATATAATTCAAAAGGAAACACTTCCTCCAGGAGTTGTCCTGTAGGAGTGGCTGTGCTCTCTGACTGAAGATGAGATGCAGCTGCCTGTCAGCTCTATGTGAGTGGGTGGGAGGGAAAGAAGGAGGGAACAAGGGGGAGAGGCCAGATGGACGGGTGGCCGTACAGGATGCTGTATCGCTGCACCACTTGGTGCTTTTCATTAAAGCTATATGACTGTATAAGAACAGCATTAAAGAAGCAGTGACTGATAGGGCACAAGACTGAGAGGCATACAACAGCTCAGTTCAAAAGTATGAGTGATGAATTATGAATCAGTCAAACAGTGACCACCAGAAAGTGAGTCATAGAGTATTATATTTAAATATAAAAAAGCAGATACACTCACTAGTAAGTGTGAGAATAATCATGTAGATGTAAGATGTAAGTGTGTTCAAAATTACTTTTTAAAATCTATACTTGATCCAGATCTAAATGTCACACTAGTTTGTTGCCGAACAGCTGCGCATTCAGCTCACGGAGGATAAATCACAAGAGGACAGAATGGAATCAATGTGTTTCAAAACTTTCTGCTGAGCTCAAACTGTTACATATCGGCACATGTGAGCCAAATCAGACTCCTGGCATGTTTTCTGCATGGTCATAACGCGAACCACATTTTCTCAGAGCGGCTGGCATTCAGAGAGCCCAGAGAGCCAGGAAACAGCTGATGACGAAGGATTAGGTCTGGGCCAGGGGATTGGAGCCGACTGGGCCGTGCTGCATCAGGGCTGGGGAGAAGAGTGCCGCTTCACTACATACCAGTAGGCTGACGCACAGGGATAAAAATCCCCACCGCTCAGGAGACAAATTAAACTTTACTATGTTTTACAAGTCCATGCTATAAAGATTTGTCAGAGTATATCTACTGTTTTGAAGTTGGTGCTGTGAGATGTTCAGCTGATGGTAAAACTATGATATGAATGCAACGCCGTCTAATACCTTGGATGGTAAAAGTATGACATGTATGCAATTTTCCAGCGGCTCATCTGCAACAACAGTGCTAGACAATGCCTGGACCGAAATATCCACTGAGGAGATCAAAGACTTCAAAAGGAAACTCCTAACTGTAGAGGTGGAGAGCAGCAGACACAAAACACATGCCAACATTGTTTACAGCTAATTCAGATGCCCCCACTATCAAAAAGGTAATCTGTACACAGAAGATGGATGTGCAGTTAACCAACCCAACAACTAAATACCGCAGCAGCCGTACCGGGAAGTGGGAAGGCTTTCATGTGCAAAACATATGGCGGGAATTGGAGTGAAAAGACATGCATGCCACATGTGTGTCAGCCATGAAATAGCTCACATTGCTATAATGTAACTCATTCCAGGTACTTAAACCTTCTCCTGTGATGAATGCAAGGAGATGATTCAAGTGATTGTTTATGTCTGCTCTGCTTTGCATTCCTTAGATGAGACTGAATCACAGCTTTATGGGAGATTTACATGAAAAAAGGTTGACCAAGGCATTACGCAATAAAGTCAAGCTGGTATGTGTTATCACTAAAAGGAGATCCATCCACAGTTACAGAGGATGCTGGTGAAGAGTGACTGATGCCAGGTCTGATATCACTGCACAGCCACGACTTTTCAATGAGCTTCTCCATGTAGCTATGCAGAGAAGATTGATTCTCTTAGGATCATTCACAGGGGAGGAAAGAGACTGATGGTTTAGTGGTGAGGACCGTCGGTTCACTCAGGGTGACTGAAGAGGGCTGTATAAACAAGCCCTTTAGCAGTGAAGCACAAAGTGGAGCGCATACAAACAGCTTGTGCCATAAAGCCCAGTGTTGTGTGTTTGTGTGTGTGTGTGTGTGTGTGTGTGTGTGTGTGTGTGTGTGTGTGTGTGTGTGTGTGTGTGTGTGTGTGTGTGTGTGTGTGTGTGTGTGTGTGTGTGTGTGTGTGTGTGTGTGTGTGTGTGTGTGGGTGTGTGTGTGTGTGTGTGTGTGAGACCCTGGGATACCTTGTCAAACGCATTCTCTTAGTGAGAAGATAAACAGTGTTAAAGTTGTACTATGTAAAGAGTCAAAAGGTGTCTATGTACAGAGATGCAAGCCATCACCATGTTGATGTTTGAACAGGTTGCTAACACTTTTTCACATTGTAATCCCAGTGTGTACACGTTTGAGTATGCAGGTTACAAATACCACCAACAGAGACACATTCTCACTTACTGGCAACAACATCACACAACAAAAGTAATTTTTTTGTCTTCAGGTATTAAATCTGATTTTTTTTTATCAGTTTAAATGAAAGAAAGTTATATGGACCAACACCTCGGTGTTGTAAGGATAAGGTGCACCCTCTCTCTCATACACCTCATCCTGACAGACAGCTATGAAATTGAATCTGTCACAGTACAGACTAAGTGAATTTTCATCGCTTTGTACAATACATCTTCACTTGTGCCAACAGCTGCCAAGCAGCCGTGACTAAAAGTAAAATCCCCTGACAGTGACAGAGAAGTAAGACCCCTTACCTTCAGATTGATCCTAGGAGCATTGACAAGTCTTCCCTCTCTGTCCGAGGAGCTTTGCCGGCCAGCAACCCGTCTCCTCCTTCTGAAATCAGAGAAGAGATTTCCAGCTGGTTGTCCCTACAGGGGCTGCTGCCTCAGATGTATAGATCCCTCAGATGTTCAGAGTCTGAGGTTAATCTCTGCTGTCCCGGGAGTCTGCTGGAGGAGGTACCGCTCTGAGTCTGGCTGTTTGTTTAGTCAAATCACAGCACCATGGGGGTCTTCTCTCCTCTCTCACACTCTGAAAAAGCCTGCCCACCGCTCCCAAAGAGTGCTGTACATTTAAAAAGAAACACACATACACACACTACTTCCCTGACAGATTCACACAGAGGGAGAGAGTCAGTGGTCCGGCCCGGCTGAAGCTAGAGTAAGAGTGAGCTGGAGAGGGAGAGGAGGGAGGGAATTGTGAGGGGGAGTTGAGCAAAAAGCAATAGAGGGACGGGAACAGAGAAAGAGAAAAGATAGAGGGAGAAAACTTCAAAATACAGATCGAGCTCTGCTTGTTGTTGTTCAGTAGCAGCTGAGAGGTCCTGAGTTGGAGTGATTTGTTTATGAATGGAGTGGCGAGCAACTGGAGGTGAACTGAGACAGTCTCCATTGGCAACAGCAATCTGGACCGCATCTAACCCCTCCATAAAACAACAAACACAATAAAAAGGAAGAGAAAGAGTGAGAGAGAGTGAGTGAGAGGTCCAGGCAGGAAAAAAAAAAGGTTTTGGCAGAGCTCATGGTGTCCTGCTTTGGAAACAAACATGGAAGTCTCAGTTTCTCAGGAAAATAACTTCACTTACATAATCACACTGTCAGAATCAGGTGTAAAAGAGGTTAAACACATACTTTTAGCTGGAGTGAACCCATTTTACATCTCCTTTTGTGTATTTCCTTTCTTTTTCCATTCATCCCACATAAAATAACTCAACACCTCCCTCTATCATCACCCCCTTCTGTCTCTTTTCTCTGCTCTTTCAGCCCTCTCTCTTTCAAACACATGCATACACACACCATGCAAATACGTCTGTTTTCTATATTGGCTCTCTCCCTAATTTCCTCCTTTCCCAGGATATGTGAGGATGGTTTGAAATTCATAACGCTACCCTGCAGCTGACGAGGGCCTTTTCTCTCTAACAAGGGGTCGGGGCAGACTGAGGGGAGGAGGGAACAGGGGCTAAATTGGACAGTAACCATGTTCTCCTCTAATTGTGAGGGTAAATCTAAAAGCCCTGCTAGCAGTAATTAGAGAGCCTGTGAAACCCCAGTTATTAGATAGGAGGGGAGCAACACCACACAGGACTGTCCCACCTTATCATCTATTTATTTCCATTTATATAATTAACACCTTCTTTCAATAAGTTCTAAATCTACATACTTAACTTCATGAATCTGGTCTTGTATTTTTTAAGTTCTTCCAATTACACTTGAATGTTTTCAAGAGATAATAATGCAGCAATGCACATGCAATTCACATTATGCAAATACTCACACACAATCCTTTATCAGCTGAACACACACATCCTGCAGCAAACCACGGCCCTAACGAAAAACACTGTGTGTAAATATCTTAAGTGTTACAAGACATATATATTTCCAATTTGGAAATAATTTTAGCATTTTGTTGTTACAATGGAGTGGTGTCTATTCATGCAGTTTGACAGAGTGGCAAACCACTTAATAAACTGGACTCTAAATCATTCTGCTACAACAATGCACAGCCTATTCGGCCTATCAGAGCAGCTTAAGAGTGGTTTCTCTCACCACTGATCTGGATTGTTGCCATGGCTGGACAGCAACTAGTGCAACCACCTTGTATGCTGGTCCTGTGTTTGTTGGATTTCAGATAAAGCAAAGTTATCTCTCTGTGACTGATAGGCAGGGGCCCCTGGAGGCCCTTGGGAGCTAGAAGCAGGAAACACTGGGGCCTGAGACCTGAACCTAGAGCTGAACTCAACATACCTCTGATAGATGAAGATGGATGAAACCATAAAACGATTGATCTGGAGTCAGATCCATAATACATTGTACCAATGAAAGATGGAATAGTCAGATGGTCCTCAAAACTCGATTCAGATATTGTTGACCTGAAACACTGCAACATTTCGAAAATACAACAACAGTCGAAATCACCATCATCCTACTTTAAAATATACTCCTCACATCAAATCAAACAACACAAAACAAGCAGGAACACAGGCGAGGAGGAACTCAAGTTAGAGTTGGAACAATTAACTCATTAAACAACTAGCCAATAACAGTAAGCCCTTAATCTGAAACTATTTTGAACATTCATTAATTGTAATTTTATAAACAAAAAATACCAAATGTAAACACTGTAGACAGTAAACTGACTAGCCTGTTTAGACACAGCAATAAGACTTTTTCACTATCAGTCATCCATAGAAAATAATTGGCAGATTAAACAGCAATGACAATAATCGTAAATTACAGTCATAATTCAATTACGTACAGAATATGATAAATGAAACAGAAAGCCCAGCAGGAAAAAACCAAAGGCATCCTGGTGATGACACTGACCATAATAACAACGTTCCCCAGTTCGACTCTGGCCGGGGACCTTTGTTGCATGTCATCCCATTCCTCTGGCTGCTCTCATTTCCTGTCAGCTCTCTGCTGCATACAGTCTAATAAAGGCATTCAAAAAAGAGAAAAGTGTGGTACAGTCAACAGAAGGATGAAGAATAAGTTAAATCTACTATAATTACTTTCCCTATCTGATTTTAAGGAATCAATAAAAATGTACAAAAAGGAAATTTTATCCACAAAGAACATTAACTTGATGCAGTCTTGTATGATGAGATATTGCAAAGTTGCCATAGTCATTACTTAAACCAAATTTTGAACGCTGCCTTCCCATTAATTAGGCCATTCTGAACACAGACGTAGTGGGTGAGTGTACACACCGCCTCACACTCTGTGATCAAACAAAACAACTGAATCTGGGGTGGTGAGTTGTCTCAACTTGTAATGTTTAGTCGCTTTAGTTGTTTCTGTTTATCACGGTGCAAAATTATGCTGATGCTTGTTGTACAGCATTTAAAATAATATAAACCCTTCTCCACTGTTCAGTGTTTAAATGTCATTGTGAAACAGAATCACACAGACGTGCTGTAGGGGTTTAGCACTTGATAAATACTGTTAACGGCCTTCTCGTGGACAGTAATAGTGTCTTAGAGGAAACTTATGTGGAAGATGAAAGCTCTGGGTGTGTCTGGGCACCTAGAGCAGCTCTCTCTCTAACACATGTGAGCTTTTAGAATCGGTGAAAAGAGGCTACAGGTCTCTTATTAGTTCCCCCTCGATGAACTTGAAGGTCGGGACATCTACGAAGAGAACAGTGGGAACACCGTTTATGCTGCACTGTTTAAACTAAATCTCCATACATGTATTATTATTTACAGTAACCCCTCATTTAGATAAATATTAGTACAGCACAGACCGAGGTTTTATTTTTTTGGCACACAGCAGCAGAGAAGTGCTTTAAATTTAAACTTTTCCAAGGTCTGAATGTTTGAGTCCAGTGTGTACATTAACTCATGATCTCATGTATACTGTGTGCTAAGTGCTAAAACCATTTCTTTATTTTTAGCCATGTTTGTTTTTACTTGGTGGCTATGATGTATTGTATTTCAAGCTTTTTGCGATATGACTTTGATGTTTATGTTGCACTTCCCTTAATGTTCAGGCCTGTAGCACTTTTCTCTCCATTACCATGAGCCTGCTTCATGCTAACAGCTTATAGCTGTTATGGCCAATAATAAGTGTTCTGACCAAGATACTACCATGAATCTTTTATGAATGCTTGCTGGACAAGGACCCACAGAGAAGCTCAACAAGTGGAATATACATTATACTTTACAGCATGATATTCTAAGTACATGAACTCAGTGAAAGTATAAAGCCAACATGTGGGATGAAGAATAAACTTTGTGTGTACTCATCTTAAGTTTGGAACCAGCAAGTTTGTATCTGTAGGTCTCAATACCTGGTAAATGACATGCCAGTATTCAGTTTATTGCTGCCCTCGTGTGGTTGTTTTAAGAATAGTTGCCATACATTTGTAGCAGACTATCGCCATATTACACTAAATGAAGTATTGAGGTTTGAGTAAATAACACACTCACTGGTGTGATATCTGATCTTGACCTGTGGGTTCCCACAACTTTCTTCACCTCACTGTCACATCTTCAGAAACAGGAAATGTTACTGAAATGAAGTTTTTTCTTCACGAAATGAAATGAGGAAGTTTGCTTTTTGGTCTTTAAAATTAACAGTCAGTGGGAAACATGTTTAAGGGGATACACATTCATACACAGCACCTATTTCTGATGAACACTGTATTAGGTCACCTCACTGGTGAAATGTAACTGATGTAACTATTACTTTTACTGCACTTGTACTGTAACTAAGTACAGTTAAAAGGCACTTGTTGAGTATTTCCATAACATGCCTCTTCTCTTCTATTTCACCATATCTCACAGGCAAATATTGTGCTTTTTAAACCACAAGCCCTATTTATCTGTCATGCTATTGTCAGTCTGTTACTTTACAGACTGACAATAGCAGCAACAATGAATATATATATATTATGTATAATTAGCATATAAAATATAGCTCCACCTCATAACTACACCATTAAATGTGTAAGTACCAATATTATATAAAACACTTTATACACTATATGAGTGACACACAGAGTTATATATAGCTACCACTGAAGGCACCTGTAATATTTCTGGGAATTTGGGGGGTGTCATAAGAGATAAAAATAAATGTATATTCAACTTTGTGGTTCTGATATTTCTTTAGTGTAAATACTTTGAAAAAAATTGATTGTTTTTAAGTTTGAAAAATTAGTTGCCAATAATTACCTACCAATGAAACGACTGCATTTAAATGTGAGGAGATAACATTTACAGAAAATAAATGAAAGTTTTTTTACATGGCTGTTTATTCATGACTACTTTAATACTTTCACTTTTCATTGTGCTCATAATACCTACATACTTTCACTTTTTTTGATTTTGAATATGTTTTACATTCTGGTATAACTTCTACCGCCACTGACCTCAACTCAAATTCAGATTTACAATCTCAGTGCTGCGTGTCACATGAGCCCTACACACGCGTGCACAGGTGCGTGCATATGCGCGCGCGCCCACAGCGTACACACTCACACGCACACCTTACATGATGGGCCTAATCAAATCGGTCCACCGGGGGTAGTCTGGATAAACCTGGGTCAATGCCCTCACGTCGCCAAGACGAGCAGGCAGGTGGGTCTCAGGTAGATACCGTGACGTCACATTGATACTTTTGAACTCCTTGGCAGTAAATCTATAAAGGTGTGTAGTCTTCCTGCACAGGTAGCCGGCCAGTAATAAGCTTGAACCTTAGACTGAAGTGGAAACAGAGCGCCAGAGCCTGCTGGGAATAAACAGGGAGAACTAACATGCGCCAGACAGTTTGACTCATCGAGGTCAACCTGAGAGTCAACCCTACCTGTCGGACGAGGATACCGGTATGTACCCCAACTCACAGACGGCCAGGCACCCGGCTCAGGCGCTGTCACTGAACAGTCAGTACATTCCGCCTCCGTATGACTTCACCGGTTATCATCACGTCCCGGGACTCGGTGACCCGTCGACAAGTGCCTGGAACCCAGTCTACGCTCCCCGGGAGGAGTATCCGTACAGCTTCCCGGGGTCAAGCCCCAGCGCCGGGCAGGTCAGCTTCTCCTCTCCGGAGCTGAGCGGCAGTGGCACGCCCACCGCCGCTGGAGGGGGGTCGTTCACGCCGTACAACTTTATCTCCGGTCAGGACCCCTTCAGCTCCAGGAGGAGGCCTCCTGAATCCATCAAACCGTCCATTTCAGGTGGGACATACTGGATACACCATAGAGGTCTCCATGTAGGCTATTAGTCTGTATGATGTAATTAAAAACTCTATTGGCCTATAATTATATATTATTATATATTTATATATATTATAATTAGGCTGATATATACTCACTGCTTCTTTAATGTACATAAAACTCTTACTAGAAGAAGGTCTAGTCTATCTTTGGGCTGATCACAAGTCAGATATCTTAAATGCCAATAAATTAACAGGAATTTTCATTGAGATAACACTTAATTAAGGATGCTTAAACTAACACTGTTTTTTTGTGCTTGGTGCAGTCACATTGCAAACTAAACCCCAGCAGTTGAGTGCGTGTACGGATGACAGACATGGTAGAACGCATTTTCATAGACAGGACCAATTTCAACATGTACACAGAGTAGAGTCAGGCTGACTGCACACACACATTCATCAGTCTTTTTGCCTCTCCCTTCCGACAGAATGTTGTGAGGTGTCAATGCAAAGCTAACAGTGGAGGCCATGAAGTCTGCAGAAGTGTAGCTCCCCACCCTCTCTGTCCACTGGGTTGGTGCAAAAGGGTGACAAACTGTCTAGATAACGCAGACATTACAGGAAGTCAGAAGAAGTCAAACCGAAAATCCTCTAAAGACGAACCCTTAAGGCCTTACTTGTGTCTGCGTGTGTTGGTCTGCCTCGATCGATTGTTGTCACATGGTCAAGATTTCGGATCAATATCTCTGAGTCAACCTCTTTCCCTAGTGTGTGTGAACATTTGTGTCAATGAATAGCTGACTGTGTAAACACCTATGTAAACACCATTCACAGTGATAAGGAGAAGCACTGATGCAATGCAGTGGGGAGTCTTTACATTAGTTATAGTTAGTGTGATTAATAGAGTTGATGAGGCTTTAAGTGGCGCCTGAACTTGAACGTGGCACCAGACTTCATCAAATTAGTCGTGTTTAGACGGCTCACAGTACCAGTGACTCACTGACATTATAATCACTCTTGTTTGTACTACTGGCAGGTTAACACACCTGTTCAATACATTCGCTAAGCTAGTCAATCATCCAAACTATCGTCTTACTAAATCAGGGTTGTTTTGTGTGATTCAGGGAAGACTCGCACTAAAGACAAGTACAGGGTGGTGTACACTGACCAACAACGCCTGGAGCTGGAGAAGGAGTTCCAGTACAACCGCTACATCACCATGAGGAGGAAGACCGAGCTGTCAGTGACGCTGGGCCTCTCAGAGAGACAGGTGAGAGGACTGGAGCAAATCAAAGTTAGAGGTAGAGAGGTGTGGAATAGATAGATAGATAGATAGATAGATAGATAGATAGATAGATAGATAGATAGATAGATAGATAGACTTTATTAAACCCTGAAGTGAAATTGGGTCATCATAGCAGCCAGGTACATTTAAATACAATAAAATACAATAGAATAAAATACAACAATAGAATAAAATACTTGAGGTAGAAAAGATAAAAAAGATAAATAGGTAGTTAAGGTGCAAAGAAGTTGTAGTTGGGTAGAGAAACATGAGGAAGTACCGTTACAATGCAGGAGAACAGGTGAGAATCATATGAACATGACTGAAAAAGCAGGCGTGAATATAAAGGAAAGGTCAACCCCAAACTCTTCATCTACACAGGGTGTGTTCAGGCACAGTATTAAATGAAGGCCAATACATGATCACTGTAGTTATGTTATAAAAAAGTAGAAAATAGACTTAAAGCACAAAAATACGCTATGTCACACGGCCTGTGTAGCTAACTGGACTAAAAGCGTGTCTGTTGGAATGATTTATGAAATCAACTTTCCACAATACAGTGTGCATAGTCTCAATTTAAGGACTTGATCCAGAAAACAATAATACATGGATCACAAATAATTCAAAGAAAATTGTGCCTCCTATTCAGGAATGAGTGACAGAGATATCTTTATTTCCAGAGGTGGAGGAGGAGGCAGTGGTGAAGAGTGACAGATAGGAAAGCACTTGTGTCCATGCATGTTATATTTTTTCTCACATGCATTGACATTGTTGCTATTTTCGAAAATAAATATTAGGTATTGCTATCGGTTCATGTAGTTGCTTGGTGCTGTACGTTTTCTTATTGTCATCGTTAAATGGACACTTTCAGTTCCCTCATGTAGAGTTAATTCTGAAACAGCACAGAAAGTTCTTCAACAATCCCATTTAGAGAAACCATCTTTAGAAGAAACAGCAGAAACCTCTATAAACCATAATGTTATGTGGCCAAACAAACCATCTCACATACACATTAATGGTTAAACTCTCCCTCACTCATGATAGTATTATTGTTTTTCTGCCTGCTCATTCTGCTTGATGAGTGCGGTTGAGTGCAACAAAGTAATGCTGGGAAAGAAGGAAATTACTAAACTAAAGCAGAAGTAGGCAGGGCAAGATGAAGGTAACACAAAAAAGCAAAATAGCTGCGGTTCATCACACTGGAGATAACAAACTTGGTGACAATAGAAAGTGAAATAAAGCATTATTTACTCTTTCATATTATATTTTATTAACATTTATCAAGAGTCCTTGACAAATACATATGTTTTTTGATATTGATATCTCATGTCTGTGTGTATCTTTGTTTTAGGTGAAGATCTGGTTTCAGAACAGACGTGCCAAAGAGAGGAAGATAACCCGAAAGAAGCTGCAGCATTCCCAGCAGGCCTCCACAACTACACCCACCCCACCTGTGCTGGGCGGACCCGCTGACACCCACCTCACCACCAGCCCCAGCAGCAACATTTTGTCTGACACAATATCAGAGGAATACTAAGTGCATCTCATATGGAAGACTGATACAGCGTGAAATATGTACATAGCCTGTTTTGTTTTTATAAGTGTACCACAGAATGAATGAAGATGATTCACATCAACATAATGTTATAATGCTGCACTTCCTGCCTTCCACAATGACAAGCACTTCACAGCTGATGCATTGATCATCTCTAGTGGGCATTTGCCGATCTCAGGACTTTTATGTGTAAATACGGGTCATAATCAGCACCAAGGTAGTGATTTTAACGAATTACTGGATCACATGACTTCTTCAGTAAATGTTGGTTAAAGCCACAATGAAAAAAAGAGCTTCCTTTGACACATAGGGGTGTTGAAATGTGTGAATTGTGGTTAGCAGAGTGAGAATGCAGATGTCCATGTATAGTCAAGTGTCTGCAACATGAATTAGAAAATAGTTATAGGTCCCTGTATGTTTTGGTCATTGGATTTTCCTTTCAGAAACGGGTATTAAAAAACAGAAAACGAGTGGTTATTTGATTTTCGTTTTAAAATACAAAAATTAAAATTGAAATACAAGGCGTTTTTCTTTTTCATGGTCAAAAAGGGATGAGCGAAATTTAAAGAATATTCAATTTTCATTTTCTATTTCATATAACAAAAAAATAAAATCACTAGAAAACAGAAACGGAAAAAAGGCCTGTTGTTTCATATTCTGAGACCGGATGTTGTCATTTACAGGACGGTGCTGTGTAGAAGAACAGTAGACTAGTAGACTGCGGTCAATCCAGTCGTGAGTCCGATCTCCGTGGTCAAATCAGCCGCACTTAAATTTAGAGTGTACAAGTATTCTCAGCATTATGGTAAATGCGGAGAAACAGCGTATTTACTTCCGGTTTTCAAAATAAAGGTATTTAGAGCCGTAAACTATAATACAAATATGTTACATTAAAGTGTTGTGCCCCTGATGAATAAAAAAAACAATTTATATCAAGTATCTTTACTGCACCAGTGTGGAGAAATGCCCAAATAAAAGTCTCATATTTATGCCTCCAGAGATTGCATATTTGACCATATTTGAGCTACTGTAAAAACATATTGCTCAGTGTTTCCTGGCTACCGATGGTATATTTGACTTTTATACATATGAGACTACAAACATACTTAATATCAAGCATTTTTACTGTACCAATTTGGAGAAATTCAACAATAAAAGTCCATATTTGTACCTCCAAGTGGTATTTTCATATATTTGAGCTACTGTAAAAACACTTTGCTCAATAATTCCTGGCTATGGATGACATATTTGACTTCTACACATCTAAGACTACAAGTATACTTAATATCAAGAATTTTTACTGTACCAATGTGGAGAAATTGAAGAATAAATGTCCCATATTTATACTTCCAGATTCCATATTTTCTTATATTTGAGCTACGGTAAAAATGTAAACTGTATGTGGAACCACCTGCAACAGCTGTCACACTGAATAATATAAAAAATAATATGTGAGGAAGAGACAGTAGGTACAATGGTGTTTTGAAGTTAAAACTAATTATTTTTCCCTTTTACCTACAAATGGACACAGCAGAGCAGCAAAATAAGAAGAATGTGGACTGGCATTGCATTTTGTTTGAAAAGTAAACAAATTAGAATTGTGTAGGATTTTGTGTTTAGTGTTTAGTGTTTAGTGTTTATATTATCAAGATGTTATTAAACATTTGTGTGAAATTTTGTCATGATTACAGCAGCATTATTGAAGTATAATGAAAATGCTTCACCCATAGCCTGGAAATATTGAGCAATATGTTTTTACAGTAGCTCAAAAATATAAGAAAATATGGAATCTGGAGGTATAAATATGGGACTTTAATTCTTCAATTTCTCCAAATTGGTACAGTAAAAATGCTTGTAGTCTCATATGTGTAAAAGTCAAATATACCATCAGTAGCCAGGAAACACTGAGCAATATGTTTTTACAGTACCTCAAATATGGTCAAATATGCAATCTCTGGAAGCATAAATATGAGACTTTTATTTTGGCATTTCTCCACACTGGTGCAGTAAAGATACTTGATATAAAGTGTTTTTTATTCATCAGGGGCGCACGAAACACTTTAATGTAACATATTTTAATTATAGCTTACTGTTCTAAATACCTTTATTTTGAAAACCGGAAGTAAATACACTGTTTCTCCGCATTTACCATAATGCTGAGAATACTTGTACACTCTAAATTTAAGTGCGGCTGATTTGACCACGGAGATCGGAGTCACGACTGGATTGACCGCAGTTTACTAGCCTACTGTTTCTTCTACACAGCACCGTCCTGTAAATGACAACATCCGGTCTCAGAATATGAAAAAACAGGCCTTTTTTCCGTTTCTGTTTTCTAGTGATTTTATTTTTTGTTATATGAAATAGAAAATGAAAATCGAATATTTTTTTAAATTTCTCTCATCCCTTTCTGACCATGAAAAAGAAAAACGCCTTGTATTTCAATTTTAATTTTTGTATTTTAAAACGAAAATCAAATAACCACTCGTTTTCTGTTTTTTAATACCCGTTTCTGAAAGGAAAATCCAATGACCAAAACATACACGGACCATACACGGACCTAAATGCACACTCAAGTCAACTCAATCACACTGACCATCCAGGTGAAAATTGGTGTCTGTCTTTACGGCCAAAAACAGCCCTGCTATTTATTTTTGGGGAAGTAAAATTGTGCTAATTCATCTATTACCGGTTGAATTTATAGGAAATAGAGAGAGAACAGAGAGTTATAGTTGTTACTATTATTTCTATTGAAATATTGCAGCAGACAATACCATAGGAATACAATTCAAAAGTATAAACAAATGGGCACACACACAGTCTTTACTCAAGTAGAAGCAGAGATACTAGACAGTTAGCTACCAGCTGTTTCTGTGCAGAGCTCACTGAAAGTTCAAATAGGATTGAGTCTCCCTCTTTTGTCTGTTTTGTCTTGTTACTTGGTATTTTTAATGCGTTGGGAAGGTATGCAATGATGTAAAAATGCATGAAAACTAAAGTAACAAGAATGTTTTGAAAATTTAAGGAGTAGAAAGTACAGATATTGGTGTAAAAATGTGGAGGGTAAAAGTAAAACGTGAAAAAAAATTAAATACTCAAGTAGTTGTGCAGATAACTGAAAAAAAACTAGTACTGTCCAGTACAGTAACAAAGTATTTGTACTGCGTTACTTCTCACCTATGCAAATGGTTTTCAGTTAGGGAGAGGAAGGAAACTGTAGAAAAAAAAAACAGGAAGTAAATGCAATGGGATTTTAATATGAAAACACTCACAAAAACACATTTATTGTTAAAAAAGCATATGGCATGAAAAAACATTTGGTGACGGTTGTTTCCATTTTGACTTAAAATGTGTTTTTATTTTATTTTTTTTCGCTACAACATTGTGAAAACAAAAAGGAACTTAGAGCAAATGTGTTTAAAAAGGACTGTGGAATAAGAAGCTCAGACAGCAGAGTTTAGCCACATCCTGAAAAACAGCTGACACATGACTCATAATCTAATTATGCCACAAAACCCACGTTCAAAGTGAAAAAAGCCCCTGCTTCTCTAGTCTTTTGGGAGTTATGTACTGTATATGTGAAATGTTAATTCATGTACACTACTGTGCATGTAAGAAATGGTAAGCATTCAGGTTGTCCCTGTTTAAGTCACTGAAGAGGAAGGAAAAGTGGCCCATGTAGCAATCATTGACAGTATGGGTAACAATGTAAATTTAGTACCAGTCAGTCAATGATTTCAAAATAAACCACTGTACCACCTACTTTGTGCAACGCACTTATTTATCAATAAATGCGTGCAGTGAAAAAAATTCAGTTTTCTCTTTCAGCAGTGTGTCTGTATTTTCATATGTTCATAAGCAGACGTTTGTGTTGGTTTTTGCTGCTTGTAAAACGTGTGCACATTGTATAAAAACCATGCTCAGAACAGAGGTTTATTGCATTTTCTCTTCAGTGGCTCTTACCACAGTCATCAGTTGTCTGTCTATTTGCTTTCACTGCGCCACAATCTTATTAAACCTTTCAACAGAGAAAAGCTATTTGATCAGTTCATGCCGCCAAAGAAGGAATGCACCAATTGCACAAATCTACACCTGCCCACAAAATCACTTAATATAATAATTTTATGGAATTACGACCTGAGATGATTTCAGTTTTGCACCATAACTTACCATAATTGAATAAAAAAAATAATATAGGCCATGCACACACACAGGAGTTTAATGTAATTCATGACTTTTGACAAGTGCTTTCACAGAAACATTAATATCTTCCAACATTGCATTTCTTTACATTCACAAAGGTCCAACAGTAAGCAGCTGGACTGTACAAATACTGATTAAACAGTTATCCCTACTCTGCCAAGAGTATCTGAACAATATCTGCACATCTGCATTAAAAGCATGCCCAGCGTTGAATAAATGGCACCAAATACTAGTCTTGGTTTTATAGTTAAATATTTTTGCCATGGCAAGGTAACGTCACATGAACATGTCATGACAATGACAAAATCACCTGATTTTTATGAGGGAAAAAAAGATGTTTTATTGTGGGTCAACCAAACCTATAAAGAGCTAAGATGCAACAGTCTAATCCATTTGTATTTCCTATGTTATGCACACAATACTAGCTGACTAATCAGATGGCAAAAGGATACAGGATTGTTGGAGCGACTTTATTACACTTCTCCTGTGTTGTCAATTATTTGCTCGGTAGATTATGTCAGTCAGAAGTTCAACTAAGGGTTCAACTAAGGCATCAGGTAGTTGTTTAAACCTAAGGACACTACAACTATCATGAACCATAAACACCAATTTTATGGCTCTGGAATCAGGTGAATGGTTGTCCATGGTTGTCAACCTTTAACCTCAAGCTATCAAACCAAACCAATCATGTAGCCTCCGTTTCTGATTAAACCCACAGCAAGAATACAACTAAAAGCAAACGTTGTCACCTCCAAAAAAATCTCCAAAAAAACGTTCAGAAAAAAATAAATACATTTTACTTAAATGAAAAATTACAAACCATTTAAAAAAAATTGCACCACACAAATTAAGCATAAATTAGAAAAATCGCATTATTTTATACAAACAGGTGTTTCAGATGGTGGTATGGCATAGGCAGAGAAAAGAAGGGTGCTCTGCCTGAGGATCAAAGGTTTGAACTAACCCACTCCACATACCAAAAGGTTGTTGACAGACATGCATCTGATTACAGGTTTGACTAAATTAAAATATATTTTTACAAAATGTTCACTATGAGTGGCTTTGTACATTCCTCTGTGTAAGAGCTGAAATAACGCAAAAGACTTCATTCTCTAGTTCATGCCTTTCAGTATTTGTTTCTGTGCTTGTTGTTTATCGCTGTCGCCTGTGCTGTCGAGCACACCCTCTTGTGGGTTGGAGCATGTAAACTGCACAAAGGTTAACTTAAAAAAAAAGATTGTGTCTATTAGAAAAGGAACCAAGAGTGAGGGATATTTAGATAAGTCAATAGAGCAATTTATATGAATCTGATCTGTGGTGCTTCCACTTTCTTATTAGTTTGACTGGCTGATTTAAGTCAGTTAAAATGTAACACTGTGCTGGGCTGCTGTTTTATGTGATTGGAAAAGAGAATTATGCTAAGAAGAATTTTCTCTCTTATGTTCTTATGATAATTGATTGAATTTTGGATGTGCAAATTATCCTGAACACGCTTTCATCCAGTCATTGAATGTGCGCTGTGTTTGACCATTTAGCCCTTGTTCACCTGCTAATGGCAGAACAGTGGATATAAATTATAGTACTGATCTACTTGATCTAGTCCTCAGTTGCATATAGTACTATTTCATGATAGGTAAAAACAGAATTTCTAATAATGAACCTAGCTGGTTAATATTAGATCACGAATCAGTAGCACGTGTTCAACTGACTTTCCATTTTGCCAAAATAATTTGCATAAATACCCACAATATAGATAGGTTTCTCCTTCAGACTTGGAAGTTGGAGCTTGAAATTACTAAAATTTTTAAATTATTAAAAGATCACAAGTGTCAAATGTACAGCTGAGTAGCAATAATCTATGCTTCTTTTGTGGCAGGAACATTCTGAACTAGAAGCCACAAAGTCATAGGAAACACATCAGACTAAATATAGCAAACTTGATGGTGTTAAAAGATAAACACATCTCTTGCTCACAATCTGAAATACTGCTAAAACCCTTTCCTCTCGAACCACACCACCTTACTACATTCGACAAGAACTCTAAGTTTGTCCCTCTCAGTTCCTCCGCTTGTTTCAGTTAAGGAGAAAAAGGAAGAGAACAACACACAAATGTGTTCCTCCTGCGCCGCTAACTCGCTTAAGAAACAGTGGAAGTGTAGGTTATGTCTACATATACTGAAATAGTACTAATACTAATTCCCCAACTAACTTTTATATGAGAGTATGCAGCACAATTAAAACAAAGTCATTTTTATCATTGCATTAAAGACCTTTAGACCTTTTATAATTTTTGCATTTTAACACCCTGGGATAAATTATCTTAAAAGATCACACCGTTTTGTAACACTGAGAGCTTTTGCCTGAGAAAAAGCAGAAGTGTTTACATCATGGAAACACATTCGTGCACACTGTGAACTTCCTGCAAGAAATTTGTCTACCAACGTAATTTTGGGTTAGAGAACCAAAGACGGGCAGCCCGGCTGAATATGAGATTAACTCCCACTCATTGCATCTAACCTTTAATAAATCTACCAGAGCAAGAGCAGACTAGTTTATTTTTTTATATACTCTGACCCTCAACTCATCCATCCACATCTGTTTAATAAATAATAATCTGGATTTAAGTATGCAAACTTTATTACCTAAATAGCCATTTTAGATGACGTGCGCAGACAGATGATGGACCAAAATAAATGTATGCCACTTTTTCAGACCACTGAACTGTTTATGTCTGCCAGTCAACGTAGAGTAATAAAACTAAATATACTGTAAAGATATACTGTAAAGTTATTCTTAAAATCATGTTATATCATTATTGCAAGTTTACAGGGTTTAAACAATGAAATAAAAGTAAATAGACTCATAAATCAGTTAAACAAGGAAGTACAACATAAAGATAAAAAGAGAGGGAAAAAATTGTAGTATAATTGTTTTTATATAGACAGATGAAACAGATGCTTTGATGTCCAGTCATCATTAGTATAGTAAAGGTGATGACAAATAATATCTATGAGCTCTGATGGCTTATATTTTTCCTATTGGAAATGATAATAAATTAGGGTGAAAGACCTTTAAGCATCTAAAGACATCTCCTCCGTCTGCCTTCATGGATTCAGTCTTTGTAATAAAAACTCTGAGCACTCTGAATCACCTGCCTTTACGGACCTGGGAGTACACACAATCATCTGCTGTTGGTTCGACAGCCTGCCGAGGTCGCTCTGAAAACTTGACTTGGCCGTACTCCACCTCAACCTCTGCCCTCTGCTGCGTCTGCCTCCCCTGCCGCTGCATGATCCTGACATCAGCATACGTTAGCTCCTGATCATCCTCTTGTTCTGAGGAGTAAAAGGAGATTTTCCACAAATATATCATACTTACAACTAGAGACACTCAGTGGATTGTTGAAAAGAACAATTTGACATTTTGACATGTATTTACTTTCTCGCCGAGGATGAGAAGACAATCTTCTCATCTAACTCCCGGCAAGAAAGCGAGTAAGTGTGCTGCACAAAATGTCAAATTATTCTTTTAATCTATAAATAGAGCAAAACAACTCTGAAAGGAGTGATGGTTCAGAAAAAGAAAGTTTTGTTTACTACCTTTAGGTTTGTTGTTTTGCTTTTTCATATGAACAGAGACAACTGCCACCCCGACCACAAGCAGAATTATCAGTGCAGAGAGTACGCCGGCCAGAATAGGCCAGTTTGCTGTTTGAATAATAAAAGACAAAAGAGACACACAGATCTATAAGTTTTCCAACATTACAGGTGTTTTTATGGAGACTGACAAAGAATGGAAAATGACTAATGAATCCATTGCAGTTGGTTTGATTTCACTTACTAATGTACCATTGGTCATCTGTGCTGGAAGAAGTCACAGTTTGATTGGAGGATGAAATATTAGTGGGGGGTTTAATTGACACCGGGATGCCAGTCTCCTTACCCACAGTAGTGTCTTTACTCGTGGTTGGCTCAATACACTGTATGTCACTGGCTTCAAGCACCCACTCTGATATGTTTGTCCCATTAGTTAAGGTGCAGTTGATGAAAAGGCCTATGGGAAAGAAACAGAGCAATCACTGATGCACAGAGTGATCATAATCAGTATCATAATTATCAAACTGTTTTCTACTCGTGTTCTCACTCACATTTCCTCGCTTCTTTTGAGACACTACTGATGTGATTCCTGACTGAGCAGACCAGTTGTCCTGAGACATTTGGTTTCAGAGTGATGGTGTTAGTCTCATTATTTCCAGAGAGGAGCTGAGTGTCTGTCAGTGTGTGTCCATCCAGAGTCCAGCTGTACTGAGGACTGTCCCCTCCCTCAGAGGAACAGGACACCCTCGTCTCTCCCTGGGACAGACACTCAGAGACCAGCAGGACAGAGGACACAGGAGCTGAAGGAAACACACTCAGATGAATTTTGATATTAACAGAATCTTTGTCATTATATAAAGCTTATAATACAAAATAGACATACAATAAATATATACAGATATACTTCATATAGAAGAAGAGAAATGCTGTATGTAGTTTAACAATATAATATGATAGTTAATATTACTAAATTCCCTAGTAGGCAAAACTAGTTTTTTTTTACCTTGAATGATCAACTGTAGAGTCTGTGGCTCTGATGTGCTTCCATTTGAATCAGAGATTATGAGAGTGTATTCACCACCATCAGTCCTGCTCAGGTTGTTGATCCTAAATGTCCCATCAGTGGGAGTAAATGAAGATCTGTCTGCTATCAGAATAAACACTGTCCTGTTCTTACCCCCTCTGAGTATTGATGTTTTGTTCTTTAACCATTCGTATCTAAATATTTCTGAGGCACTGTCCATCAGCTGGAGGACCACAGTTCCTCCCAAAGCTCCATAACACTGACTTCCATTATTCTTTCTGCCATCACAGTAGGTTTCCACACCTGGAAATTAAAAAAATAAATGAAATTTAAAAATGTAAATATCACTCTTTTGATCATTTGATTTACAAATGAATTTACAAAATGTGACTATGACAATAATTTGGTCATATGCAAATACTGATCGAAACAAATAAGTTTGGTTCAAATGTGTCTCTCTCCAACCACACTATGAAAACAAGCTTTTATTGTTGTGCAGCTGAGTGTTACACAGGTCTGTGGCAGATGTATTTAGCATTTTTTAGTTTACTAAGATAACCTTATCCAGTCATTGCAAACTTGTACTGTGTTTTTTTCACACCTAATAAACTTTATTTAAAATTATTAGCAGAGATACTAAATTATATTTGGGAAGAGTCTATGAAAGGATCAACAAGATATTGAGAGTAGTTCAACCCTTTTTTTAAATAGTTTTATAGTTATTCCATTAAAAAAAAATATTCAATACAGGCACGATATTAGGGCTGAACAATTAATCAAAATGTTATCAAAATCATAATATGGCCAAGTGCAATGTAAAAATAATAAAGGTAAAATGTTCGTCAAAACAGCATTATTATGTACTGTAGTACAAATGTTGTTCACCAGATAAAAAAAATTTTTGTTTGGTGCAGACCCCTCCAAAACTTCACATCATCACGATTTTTTCAGTGAAAATTAAATTTGTGATGCAAAAATTATCCACACTAATAACCCTGCATGATATAACTGCAATGAAATGATACAATGTCATTCAGTGTTATCTTAAACTTTGGACTGATTTAAGAAGAAAATAAGGTTTGTATCTTAACTATCTTAAAAAGAAAGCTTCCGATCCTTAGAAAAGTTCAAAAAACAGTTAAAAGTTCAAATAACAGTCAATTGTTTCTTTATCTGAATATCTTATTTCTTAATCTTTTATCTTGATTTATCAACAAAAGTGGTCATTTCTTCAGAACCATCAGGTGGTTTCCAGCTTGCAGTGCATTACACATCACTGAGGAGAACGTCGATACTAAACTTATGACTATACCTGAAGCCAATAGCTACAAAGAAAAGTGAGAGCTGCAGAAGATTTTATTCACATTATAATAACTCCAATATTAATATGTGTTATTAGCGTCATAAGTTAAACAGCTCACCATGAGAGACTCCGAGTAGCATCAGCAACAGTCCAATCACAACTTCCATGTCTCCTCAGAGTTCAGCCTCTGTTGACCCCGTTAGCAGCTTCCAGACAAACTTTCTACTTCATCCCAAAACAAAAAGGCACATCTTACACTGAGCAGCCTGAAATGTGTCCTGAAACGTGATCAGCCTCAGAGGAAAACGTGTGAAACCTTTGACCAAACGGAGCGACGTTGTATTCATCTTTTTATAGGCAGAAAGGAGAAAAGGAAGTGATGTCAGTTTCACTTCCCTTTAAGACCAGACCAAGAGGGCCACATGGGTGTGATGGACTGAGTGGAAGAAAGGGAAACATTCCTCCTTCATACTGAAAGAGGATTTGAGACCGACAGCTGACATTTATAAGATCCATGTTATTATACATATTAACAGAGGAATTATTTAAAAAATAAAAGACTTATGACTTGAAGTCTCTCCATCTCATTTCTGACTAAATAAGCATATGATACATCTTTTTTCTGATCTCCCAATGAACGATGAGTTAGAGTTAATCAGAATTCACAGCCTGAGATGTTGTTTCAACCTCTCAAACTGGTCCTAACAGCGAAGCATTATAAGAGCATGTTGTGGTTATTTACACACACCAGACTGTAGATTCAATTCTGGTTTTAGAGTGAAGAATTAGTCTAAATTTCAATAAAATGTGTATAAAATTGACAATAAGAAGGGCTGAGTGAAGTAACATAAAACTAGCAGAGGAATCTAATGTGTCAGTGTGGTCAGTTTTGAAATGTTCTATTGCCAGAGGAGGAAGTGTGAAAGGCAACATCAGGTAGACAAATGGCCCAAAAAACAAAAACAACAAGCTCTGAGTAGAAATAAAATAATAATTAAAAAAAAACAACTAAATAAACTACCCAAAATAAAAAAAGTTAAAATTCTAAACATAACTTCTCGACAACACAAGAAAAAACAGGAGAAAGGGGAATGTAACAAAAATGGCAGCTCTCCCCTACAGGGCTTCCTGGCAAAGAATTAAAAGTAGTTGAACAGCAAACCCTTTTTGGCCTTAATCATACATTACCAGACAATAGAGCTCTGGACCAGGTCCTGACAAAGCAGCTCACACTACACCTCACTCTGGGTGTACGCAGGCAGCAGGAGTCATCAAGGAGAGTTAGTAATGCAGCTCCTCAGCCTGTAACACCCCCCGCTGGACTGTGATTGGCTGCAGGACCCCCGGATGTGAACATTTGATGGTATTTGATGAAAAACTATGCATTTTCATGTAATTATTACTATGATCATTATAATAAATTCACACAGGTTGTACTTTTTCACATTACACTCAGACATTAGCAAAGAAAAGTGAAACAAATATGCTCACTGACCAAGTAAACCTAAAGTCAGGATTAGAATTTATTTATGTTTTGATATATTTGATCTGTAACGAACAAATTCAACAAACGTATTTCTGATTCTTATTCTTGAAATATAACTAAATATTATTTCTAGAGCAGCAATAGAACAATTTACAACAGCAAAGTCACTAAACTCAGCAATTTAGATAATATTCCTGACATCAAACACACACACACAGTCAGTATCAGTCCTCTCGAGTTTGTAGCAAGCTGAGATAAACAGTTAGACCAAATACAGAGAGCTTTCCTTTGAGCTTGTTCCTAACAATTAAGACTATTACACTGAGGTTGTAACAACAAAGCAGGTGGAAATGTCGCTTTTATACTTTTTTTAAATCTGATTTGTCGTCAACTGGAGTAAACTGCACTACTGCCTGTGTGTGTGTGTGTGTGTGTGTGTGTGTGAGTGTGTGTGAGTGTGTGTTTTCATTTTCTCTCGCTCGGACGCTGTGAATAAGCACTGAGGCGCAGTGGACATAACATGATGATTGTTATGAAGAATGATGATCAGGGTTTGGTGGTGCCTTACGCACAGCGCGTTATTTGGCTACTATGGGTCTTCGTAATATCTGAGATTGGTATACTCTTTGTTCTTTAGAGAAAAAAACAGCCTGCAGTCAGAGAATTAGTCCCAAGGTAATAAATGATGTAATATTCAGACTGTGCAGTTAGCCCGCAGTAAAGCTCAAAATGTCTCTGAAGTGTTCCTGGTTTGAAGCCCAGCTCTACAATTCCTCGTCTTCCTCCTCTCTTTCTCCCTCTCTGTCGACTTGTTAGATTGTGTCGCCCTCTACTGGCAACTCTTAATTAAAGGCAAACGCTCTCAAATACTTTCCGACTTTGCACTTGAAGAAATGAAACACTCAGTATATACTGAGGAAGAGTGTTTGAATAAAGCCTCTTAAGGTCAGTTACAGCTGTATGGCTGCTTATTATAGATCATTACATTTCCAGAGTGTTTACATGTTTTCAACAGGCAGATTTACTGAATGCAGAATTACCCATAAACAACCTCACTCCTACTAATATCCATATATCTATGCGTATTACAATGAGTGCGGAAGTTGTATTGAATTCTCAGCAGCCATTAAAAGAGCAGTTCATGATCAAAAGGTCAACAAAAAGGTAGCTTATCTAAACGGACAGATGACACATGATTGATTGACAGTTTAATACATAACAACACCAGAACACCACTAAGTCAAAGCTCTTACTCTTAAATGCTTTACATTATTACACTAAAGAAAAACTGATTTATAGGCCTATTTTTAATGATTTGACAAAAACTCAAAATTATTATTTACATAATATTTACTTAGTTAAACTCTTCAATCATATATGTGAATATGTCAACAATTTGTATGGCATAAAATTAAGGTTTAGCATTCAACACACAATGTTAAAGACAACTTTAGATGCAATGTATTTTTTAAATATACGTAGCTACTCAGACAAATACAGATACAATAGTGAAAACAATTTCTCTCCAGAACTTTAACTTTTCTCTTTTAAGAAACATATCACAAATATATAATATTATAAAAAGAGTCAGACAGCTCCACCAACACAATACATAACCTTTGTTCTATCTTATTTTCCACGCTGATACAAATGCAGAAAACACTCACAGACCTTTTTATGATATTCATAGTGAGCTGCTAAGAAGTGAATCTGAGAAGAATAAAAACAGAAGAGTTTCTGCTCTAAACTCTATTTTCACGTCCATAAAGACACATGACCAATCACAGCAGGTGAGAGGCGACAGAAAGTTAAAGTTCAGATGCAGAACTTCTCATTTCAACCATTATAACAGAGTTCTCTTGATGTTCCCTCTTTCGAGAGACGGCAGAGCCTTCAGCTTTCTCGTATTTCTTCTTCTTCCAGACAAAATAAACAGCAATCCCACTCAATATAAGAATCACCACAGCTGCTCGTGAACCAAATATGAGTATGGAGCGATCTGTTCAGATAAAGAAATACAAAAATACATGTCGTGCATGTTAGTGCTCTGACAGGAGAGTTATTCCTTACTTAAGTACCATGAGTCGTCTGTGCTGGAATAAGCCACAGATTGATTGGAGGATGGGATTTTAGTGGGGGGTTTAACTGACACCATGATGCCAGTCTCCTTACCCACAGTAGTGTATTTACTCGTGGTTGGCTCAATACACTGGATGTCACTGGCTTCAAGCACCCACTCTGATATGTTTGTCCCATTAGTTAAGGTGCAGTTGATGAAAAAGCCTATGGGAAAGAAACAGATCAATCACTGATGCACAGAGTGATCATAATCAGTGTCATAATTATCAAACTGTTTTCTACTCGTGTTCTCACTCACATTTCCTCGCTTCTTTTGAGACACTACTGATGTGATTCCTGACTGAGCAGACCAGTTGTCCTGAGACGTCTGGTTTCAGAGTGATGTTGTTAGTCTCATTATTTCCAGAGAGGAGCTGAGTGTCTGTCAGTGTGTGTCCATCCAGAGTCCAGCTGTACTGAGGACTGTCTCCTCCCTCAGAGGAACAGGACACCCTCGTCTCTCCCTGGGACAGACACTCAGAGACCAGCAGGACAGAGGACACAGGAGCTGAAGGTAACACACTCGGATTAATTTTGATATTAAAAGAATCTTTGTCATTATATACAGTAGATATATATAGTTTTGGCAATAAAATATAACATGTATTTCTTTGAATATTAGTAAATTTCCCTGTAGACAAAATTATTTTTTACCTTGAATGATCAACTGTAGAGTCTGTGGCACTGATATGCTTCCATTTGAATCAGAGATCATGAGAGTATATTCACCTCCATCAGTCCTGCTCAGGTTGTTGATCCTAAATGTTCCATCAGTGGGAGTAAATGAAGATCTGTCTGGTATCAGAATAAACACTGCCCTGTTCTTACCCCCTCTGAGTATTGATGTTTTGTTCTTTAACCATTCGTATCTAAATATTTCTGAGGCACTGTCCATCAGCTGGAGGACCACAGTTCCTCCCAAAGCTCCATAACACTGAGCTCCATTATTCTTTCTGCCATCACAGTAGGTTTCCACACCTGGAAATTAAACAATTAAAAATTAATAAAATAATTTAAATATAACTCTTTTCATAATTGCTCAACAATTGAATTTACAAAAGTCATGACCATGACAATATTTTGGCCTTATGTAACAATCGATCTAAACAAATAACAGTGGTTTGGTTCAGCTGTGTCTCTCTCTGACCACACTGTGAAAACAGACTTTATTGTTAGAGCTGAATGTTACACGACAAAACATTTCAGTTTTAGCTATAGGTTTAGTCATTATAAACTGATGATGTGTTTTTTCACACCTACAGAACTTTATTTTAAATTATAGCACAGATCACAACTTTTCTAGTGATACTGAATTATAGTTCATGCTGTATTTGGAAAAAATCTATAAAATTATCAACAAAATATCGAGAGAAGTCCAGCCTTAGTCAGTTTACAGTTATTCTATTATGGTACAATGTTATGCAGTGTTATCTTAAACCATGAAGTGACTTCAGGTTTCACAGGATTAATTAAATATCTGAACAGTCTGGGATCCTAAAAGTATAATTTAATAGATTCATTCATAAAAAAGTGGAAGTTCATACTTGTGACGTGAAACCAATCTCTGGATTTGCCTAAATTGATTAAAAAACATCCTTAGAAAAGTTCAAATAAGAGTTTCAATCTGCAGCATTTATCTGCCATCAGTCAGTAAGTTAACAGTAAGTAAACAATTTAGTCATTCCTACTAAATCAGTAGGAAACAGTGGGTTTGCTGTAACTGTTTCTCTCAGACCACAGTTTGCAAACAGGAAGTTATTCTTGTGTAGCTGAGAATTACACAGGCCTGTGAGCAGTGGTGGAATGTAAGTACGGAAAAATACACCAGATAAAGCATCATAGATTCATGGCAGTCAATTGAACATTATATTTAATTATATTCAATAAAATTATATTGAATTAATTTACACTGATAACATTAGGACCACCTGGGCACCCTGGTGGTCATAATGTTGTGCAGCCCCATACCAACAAACTGTGATGCACTGTTTATTCTGACACCTTTCTATCAGAACCCGCATGAACTTTTTCAGCAGTTTGAGCTACAGTAGCTCGTCTATTGGATCGAAACACACGGGCCAGCCTTCACTCCCCACGTGCATTAATGAGACATACTTGTCACCGTGATGCCAGTCTCCTTACCCACAGTAGTGTCTTTACTCGTGGTTGGCTCAATACACTGAATGTCACTGGCTTCAAGCACCCACTCTGATATGTTTGTCCCATTAGTTAAGGTGCAGTTGATGAAAAGGCCTATGGGAAAGAAAAAGAGCAATCACTGATGCAGAGAGTGATCATTATCAGTGTCATAATTATCAAACTGTTTTCTACTCGTGTCCTCCCTCACATTTCCTCGCTTCTTTTGAGACACTACTAATGTGATTCCTGACTGAGCAGACCAGTTGTCCTGAGACGTCTGGTTTCAGAGTGATGTTGTTAGTCTCATTATTTCCAGAGAGGAGCTGAGTGTCTGTCAGTGTGTGTCCATCCTGAGTCCAGCTGTACTGAGGACTGTCTCCTCCCTCAGAGGAACAGGACACCCTCGTCTCACCCTGGGACAGACACTCAGAGACCAGCAGGACAGAGGACACAGGAGCTGAAGGAAACACACTCGGATGACTTTTGATATTAACAGAATCTTTGTCATTATATAAAGCTTATAATACAAAATAGACATACAATATATACAGATATACTTCATATAGAAGAAGAGAAATGCTGTATGTAGTTTAACAATATAATATGATAGTTAATATTACTAAATTCCCTAGTAGGCAAACTAGTTTTTTTTTTACCTTGAATGATCAACTGTAGAGTCTGTGGCTTTGATGTGCGTCCATTTGAATAAGAGATTATGAGACTGTATTCACCTCCATCAGTCCTGCTCAGGTTGTTGATCCTAAATGTTCCATCACTGGGAGTAAATGAAGATCTGTTTGCCATCGGAATAAACATTGCCCTGTTCTTACCCCCTCTGAGTATTGATGTTGCTTTGTTTTTGAATTCGTATCTATATATTTCTGAGGCACTGTCCATCAGCTGGAGGACAACAGTTCCTCCCAAAGCTCCATAACACTGAGTTCCATTATTCTTTCTGCCATCACAGTAGGTTTCCAAACCTGGAAAATAAATGAAATTTAAAAAAGTAAATATAACTCTTTTGATCATATGATTTACAAATGAATTTACAAAGTGTGACTATGACAATAATTTGGTCATATGCAAATACTGATCGAAACAAATAAGTTTGGTTCAAATGTGTCTCTCTCCAACCACACTATGAAAACAAGCTTTTATTGTTTTGCAGCTGAGTGTTACACAGGTCTGTGGCAGATGTATTTAGCATTTTTTAGTTTACTAAGATAACCTTATCCAGTCATTGCAAACTTGTACTGTTTTTTTCATACCTGATAAATTTTATTTAAAATTATTAGCAGAGATACTAAATTATATTTCAAGCTGTATTTGGGAAGAGTCTATGAAAGGATCAACAAGATATTGAGAGTAGTTCAACCCTTTTTTAAAATAGTTTTATAGTTATTCCATTAAAAAAAATATTCAATACAGGCACGATATTAGGGCTGAACAATTAATCAAAATATTATCGCAATCATAATGTGGCCAAGTGCAATGTAAAAATAATAAAGGTGAAATGTTCGTCAAAACAGCATTATTATGTACTGTAGTACAAATGTTGTTCTCCAGATAAAAAAAATGTTTGTTTGGTGCAGACCCCTCCAAAAATTCACATCATCACGATTTTTTCAGCGAAAATTAAATTTGTGATGCAAAAATTATCCACACTAAAAACCCTGCATGACATAACTGCAATGAAAGGATACAATGTCATTCAGTGTTATCTTAAACTTTTGACGGATTTAAGAAGAAAATAAGGTTTTTATCTTAACTATCTTAAAAAGAAAGCTTCCGATCCTTAGAAAAGTTCAAATAACAGTTAAAAACTGCTGTTTGTCAATTGATTCTTTATCTGAATATCTTATTTCTTAATCTTATATCTTGATTTATCAACAAAAATGGTCATTTCTTCAGAACCATCAGGTGGTTTCCAGCTTGCAGTGCATTACACATCACTGAGAAGAACGTCGATACTAAACTTATGACTATACCTGAAGCCAATAGCTACAAAGAAAAGTGAGAGCTGCAGAAGATTTTATTCACATTATAATAAATCCAATATTAATATTTGTTATTAGCGTCATAAGTTAAACAGCTCACCATGAGAGACTCCGAGTAGCATCAGCAACAGTCCAATCACAACTTCCATATCTCCTCAGAGTTCAGCCTCTGTTGACCCCGTCAGCAGCTTCCAGACAAACTTTCTACTTCATCCCAAAACAAAAAGGCACATTTTACACTGAGCAGCCTGAAATGTGTCCTGAAACGTGATCAGCCTTAGAGGAAAACGTGTGAAACCTTTGACCAAATGGAGCGACGTTGTATTCATCTTTTTATAGGCAGAAAAGAGAAAAGGAAGTGATGTCAGTTTCACTTCCCTTTAAGACCAGACCAAGAGGGCCACATGGGTGTGATGGACTGAGTGGCAGAAAGGGAAACATTCCTCCTTCATACTGAAAGAGGATTTGAGACCGACAGCTGACATTTATAAGATCCATGTTATTATGCATATTAACAGAGGAATTATTTAAAAAGATAAAAGACTTATGACTTGAAGTCTCTCCATCTCATTTCTGACTAAATAAGCATATGATACATCTTTTTTCTGATCTCCCAATGAACGATGAGTTAGAGTTCATCAGAATTCACAGCCTGAGATGTTGTTTCAACCTCTCAAACTGGTCCTAACAGCGAAGCATTATAAGAGCATGTTGTGGTTATTTACACACACACCAGACTGTAGATTAAATTCTGGTTTTAGAGTGAATAATTAGTCTAAATTTCAATAAAATGTGTATAAAATTGACAATAAGAAGGGCTGAGTGAAGCAACATAAAACTAGCAGAGGAATCTAATGTGTCAGTGTGGTCAGTTTTGAAATGTTCTATTGCCAGAGGAGGAAGTGTGAAAGGCAACATCAGGTAGACACATGGCCCAAAAAACAAAAACAACGAGCTCTGAGTAGAAATAAAATAATAATTTAAAAAAAACAACTAAATAAACTACCCAAAATAAAAAAAAGTTAAAATTCTAAACATAACTTCTCGACAACACAAGAAAAAACAGGAGAAAGGGGAATGTAACAAAAATGGCAGCTCTCCCCTACAGGGCTTCCTGGCAAAGAATTAAAAGTAGTTGAACAGCAAACCCTTTTTGGCCTTAATCATACATTACCAGACAATAGAGCTCTGGACCAGGTCCTGACAAAGCAGCTCACACTACACCTCACTCTGGGTGTACGCAGGCAGCAGGAGTCATCAAGGAGAGTTAGTAATGCAGCTCCTCAGCCTGTAACACCCCCCGCTGGACTGTGATTGGCTGCAGGACCCCCGGATGTGAACATTTGATGGTATTTGATGAAAAACTATGCATTTTCATGTAATTATTACTATGATCATTATAATAAATTCACACAGGTTGTACTTTTTCACATTACACTCAGACATTAGCAAAGAAAAGTGAAACAAATATGCTCACTGACCAAGTAAACCTAAAGTCAGGATTAGAATTTATTTATGTTTTAATATATTTGATCTGTAACGAACAAATTCAACAAACGTATTTCTGATTCTTATTCTTATTCTGAAATATAACTAAATATTATTTCTAGAGCAGCAATAGAACAATTTACAACAGCAAAGTCACTAAACTCAGCAATTTAGATAATATTCCTGACATCAAACACACACACAGTCAGTATCAGTCCTCTCGAGTTTGTAGCAAGCTGAGATAAACAGTTAGACCAAATACAGAGAGCTTTCCTTTGAGCTTGTTCCTAACAATTAAGACTATTACACTAAGGTTGTAACAACAAAGCAGGTGGAAATGTCGCTTTTATACTTTTTTTTAATCTGATTTGTCGTCAACTGGAGTAAACTGCACTACTGCCTGTGTGTGTGTGTGTGTGTGTGTGTGTGTGTGTTAGTGTGTGTTAGTGTGTGTTTTCATTTTCTCTCGCTCTGACGCTGTGAATAAGCACTGAGGCGCAGTGGACATAACATGATGATTGTTATGAAGAATGATGATCAGGGTTTGGTGGTGCCTTACGCACAGCGCGTGATGCGCGTGTACGCAGAGGTGTATTTGTTGCTTTTTGGCTACTATGGGTCTTCGTAATATCTGAGATTGGTATACTCTTTGTTCTTTAGAGAAAAAAACAGCCTGCAGTCAGAGAATTAGTCCCAAGGTAATAAATGATGTAATATTCAGACTGTGCAGTTAGCCCGCAGTAAAGCTCAAAATGTCTCTGAAGTGTTCCTGGTTTGAAGCCCAGCTCTACAATTCCTCGTCTTCCTCCTCTCTTTCTCCCTCTCTGTCGACTTGTTAGATTGTGTCGCCCTCTACTGGCAACTCTTAATTAAAGGCAAACGCTCTCAAATACTTTCCGACTTTGCACTTGAAGAAATGAAACACTCAGTATATACTGAGGAAGAGTGTTTGAATAAAGCCTCTTAAGGTCAGTTACAGCTGTATGGCTGCTTATTATAGGTCATTACATTTCCAGAGTGTTTACATGTTTTCAACAGGCAGATTTACTGAATGCAGAATTACCCATAAACAACCTCACTCCTACTAATATCCATATATCTATGCGTATTACAATGAGTGCGGAAGTTGTATTGAATTCTCAGCAGCCATTAAAAGAGCAGTTCATGATCAAAAGGTCAACAAAAAGGTAGCTTATCTAAACGGACAGATGACACATGATTGATTGACAGTTTAATACATAACAACACCAGAACACCACTAAGTCAAAGCTCTTACTCTTAAATGCTTTACATTATTACACTGAAGAAAAACTGATTTATAGGCCTATTTTTAATGATTTGACAAAAACTCTAAATTATTATTTACATAATATTTACTTAGTTAAACTCTTCAATCATATATGTGAACATGTCAACAATTTGTATGGCATAAAATTAAGGTTTAGCATTCAACACACAATGTTAAAGACAACTTTAGATGCAATGTATTTTTTTAAATATACGTAGCTACTCAGACAAATACAGATACAATAGTGAAAACAATTTCTCTCCAGAACTTTAACTTTTCTCTTTTAAGAAACATATCACAAATATATAATATTATAAAAAGAGTCAGACAGCTCCACCAACACAATACATAACCTTTGTTCTATCTTATTTTCCACGCTGATACAAATGCAGAAAACACTCACAGACCTTTTTATGATATTCATAGTGAGCTGCTAAGAAGTGAATCTGAGAAGAATAAAAACAGAAGAGTTTCTGCTCTAAACTCTATTTTCACGTCCATAAAGACACATGACCAATCACAGCAGGTGAGAGGCGACAGAAAGTTAAAGTTCAGATGCAGAACTTCTCATTTCAACCATTATAACAGAGTTCTCTTGATGTTCCCTCTTTCGACAGACGGCAGAGCCTTCAGCTTTCTCGTATTTCTTCTTCTTCCAGACAAAATAAACAGCAATCCCACTCAATATAAGAATCACCACAGCTGCTCGTGAACCACATATGAGTATGGAGCGATCTGTTCAGATAAAGAAATACAAAAATACATGTCGTGCATGTTAGTGCTCTGACAGGAGTTAACTTAAGTACCATGAGTCATCTGTGCTGGAAGTAGTCACAGATTGATTGGAGGATGGGATTTTAGTGGGGGGTTTAACTGACACCATGATGCCAGTCTCCTTACCCACAGTAGTGTCTTTACTCGTGGTTGGCTCAATACACTGGATGTCACTGGCTTCAAGCACCCACTCTGATATGTTTGTCCCATTAGTTAAGGTGCAGTTGATGAAAAGGCCTATGGGAAAGAAACAGAGCAATCACTGATGCACAGAGTGATCATAATCAGTGTCATAATTATCAAACTGTTTTCTACTCGTGTTCTCACTCACATTTCCTCGCTTCTTTTGAGACACTACTGATGTGATTCCTGACTGAGCAGACCAGTTGTCCTGAGACGTCTGGTTTCAGAGTGATGTTGTTAGTCTCATTATTTCCAGAGAGGAGCTGAGTGTCTGTCAGTGTGTGTCCATCCAGAGTCCAGCTGTACTGAGGACTGTCTCCTCCCTCAGAGGAACAGGACACCCTCGTCTCTCCCTGGGACAGACACTCAGAGACTAGCAGGACAGAGGACACAGGAGCTGAAGGAAACACACTAAGATTAATTTTCATATTAAAATAATCTTGTACATTATATACAGTAGATATATATATATAGTTTAGCAATAAAATATAACATGTATTTCTTTGAATATTACTAAATTCCCCTGTAGACAAAATTATTTTTTACCTTGAATGATCAACTGTAGAGTCTGTGGCTCTGATGTGCGTCCATTTGAATCAGAGATTATGAGAGTATATTCACCTCCATCAGTCCTGCTCAGGTTGTTGATCCTAAATGTTCCATCAGTGGGAGTAAATGAATATCTGTCTGGTATCAGAATAAACACTGTCCTGTTCTTACCCCCTTTGACTATTGATGTTGCTTTGTTTTTGAATTCGTATCTAAATATGTCTGAGGCACTGTCCATCAGCTGGAGGACCACAGTTCCTCCCAAAGCTCCATAACACTGAGTTCCATTATTCTTTCTGCCATCACAGTAGGTTTCCACACCTGGAAATTAAAAAAATGAAAATAAATTAAATAATGTAAATATAACTATTTTCATAATTGTTCAACAATTGAATTTACAAAAGTCATGACCATGACAATATTTTGGCCTTATGTAACAATCGATCTAAACAAATAACAGTGGTTTGGTTCAGCTGTGTCTCTCTCTGACCACACTGTGAAAACAGACTTTATTGTTAGAGCTCAATGTTAAATGACAAAACATTTCAGTTTTAGCTAACAGAGGTATTTCACATTTTTCATCCAGTCATTATAAACTGATGATGTGTTTTTTCACACCTACAGAACTTTATTTTAAATTATAGCACAGATCACAACTTTTCTAGTGATAGTGAATTATAGTTCATGCTGTATTTGGAAAAAATCTGTAAAACGATCCACAAAATATCGAGAGAAGTCCAGCCTTAGTCAATTTACAGTTATTCTATTATGGTACAATGTTATGCAGTGTTATCTTAAACCATGAAGTGACTTCAGGTTTCACAGGATTAATTAAATATCTGAACTGTCTGGGATCCTAAAAGTATAATTTAATAGATTAATTCATAAAAAAGTGGAAGTTCATACTTGTGATGTGAAACCAATCTCTGGATTTGCCTAAATTGATTAAAAAACATCCTTAGAAAAGTTCAAATAAGAGTTTCAATCTGCAGCATTTATCTGCCATCAGTCAGTAAGTTAACAGTAAGTAAACAATTTAGTCATTCCTACTAAATCAGTCGGACCACAGTTTGCAAACAGGAAGTTATTCTTGTGTAGCTGAGAATTACACAGGCCTGTGAGCAGTGGTGGAATGTAAGTACGTAAAAATACACCAGATAAAGCATCATAGATTTATGGCAGTCAATTGAACATTATATTTAATTAAATTCAATAAAATTATATTGAATTAATTTACACTGATAACATTAGGACCACCTGGGCACCCTGGTGGTCATAATGTTGTGCAGCCCCATACCAACAAACTCTGATGCACTGTGTGTTCTGACACCTTTCTATCAGAACCAGCATGAACTTTTTCAGCAGTTTGAGCTACAGTAGCTCGTCTATTGGATCGAAACACACGGGCCAGCCTTCACTCCCCACGTGCATTAATGAGCCTTGGCCACCCATAACCTGCTTTCCCTTCCGTGGACCACTTTTAATAGGTACTACTGACCACTGCAGACCAGGAACATCCCACAAGAGCTGCAGTTTTGGAGATGCTCTGACCCAGTCGTCTAGCCATCACAATTTGGCCCTTGTCAAAATCACTCAAATCCTCATGCTGCCCATTTTTCCTGCTTCTAACACATCAACTGTGAGGAGAACATGTTCATTTGCTGTCTAATATATCCCACCCACTGACAGGTGCCATGATAACCAGATAATCAGTGTTATTCTCTTCACCAGTCAGTGCTCATAATGTTATAGCTGATCAGTGTATGTGTCATGATTCACTGAAGATGATGTCAAACTGTATTTCTTTTTAGTAAACCTTATTCAACAGCTTCATAAAATGTGCCAAATTAAGTTAAACATCTCACCATGAGAGACTCCGAGTATCATCAGCAACAGTCCAATCACAGCCTCCATGTCTCCTCAGTGTTCAGCCTCCGTTGATTCAGTCAGCAGCTTCCAGACAAACCTCTCTACTTCATTTAATAACTAACATGCACATCTGACACCCTGCAGCTTGAAACGTCTTCTCTTAGTGGGTGTTGTAGAAATAGCAGTTAGAGGAAAAAGAGGAAGCTCAGTTAATGTTAACTTGCAAAGCTGCTGACACTAAAAGCTACATAAACAACAAGTTATCTGTCCACTTATCTAACACATAACTATTCTTCAGTTACAGCCATATTGTTGTCTGTTATGAGACAAATATATAATATCACTGAACTTTGCATTTAATCTTGCACTTATCAAACTAACTGAAAAATATAAAAATTAAGAATTTCCTTCTATTTTTGACAGGCAGACCAAAGAAGTTGAATGCTGAAAAACTGTGATGTAACATCAGGACATTTTTATTTCATTATTTTTGTTTTAATTCCATTTTCACTTTGAGGTTACACAGCTTGAATTACTATGAAGATCTTGTAAAACCGAAAGCCTTATTGACAAAACTTCTGTGAAATAACATTATTGATTATGTTTTCACTGTAAAACTTTAAATTCTAAGAGTATATTCTATCACTATCACTTCAGATTGAGTTGTTGATCCTAAACTTTCCACCACTGGGACTAAATGAGGATCTGTTTTTTCTTTTAGATTAGACGCAATTCTGTTCTTTCTCCCACTGACTATTGTTTCTCTTTGTTTAACCACTGGTATCTAAAATACTTTTCTCTGTCTGTCTGTGCAGGAGCAAGAGTTTACTTGTTTTTACTTTTTCAGGTACTTGTATACATTGTAAAAACTCTGTTTCAGTGTCAGCAGTAAGTCCACATTGTCTGCTTCCTCTTAACTCATTTAACTCTTTTAAGACATTTCAGGCTGTTCAGTGTAAGTTGTGCGTGTTAGATATTGCATAAAATAGAGAAGTTGACACATTTTATACAGCAGTTACGCAGTTTAACAGTAAACATAAAAAATATTACGAGATGATCTGAGGACTGAAAGCATAACCAATAATGGTTATTTCACCGTCTATAAGACTTTCTGGTTGATCTGATATATATAATATATATATATGATATATATAAATAGTCTTTTTTGGGGTGGGGGAAGGCAGATACATATTCACCTGCTCAAGGATGTTTCGTCCCTTCACCAAGGAGAACTGCAAGTTTCTCTGGTGTTAATGTTAGAATATCTGGTATTTTTGGGCTATTTCCCTGTAATGGAAGAAAACCCCTCACAGTGGAGGAGGAATTGCATCTCTGTTTCTATTTCTCCTGTTGAAAAGTGAGGGCATAAGCACTCCTCTCTGGGAAGCCACCAACTCAAAGCTCTTACTCTTAAATGCATTACATTCTTACGCTAAAGAAAAACAGATTTAAAGGCCTATTTTTAATGATTTGACAAAAACTCTAAATTATTATTTACATAACATTTACTTAGTTAAACTCTTCAATCATATATGTGAATATGTCAACAATTTGTATGGCATAAAATTAATGTTTAGCATTTAACACACAATGTTAAAGACAACTTTAGATGCAATTTATCTTTATACGTATCTTTATACGTAGCTACTCAGACAAATACAGATACAATAGTGAAAACAATTTATCTCCAAAACTTCAACTTTTCTCTTTTAAGAAACATATCACAAATATATAATATTATAAAAAGAGTCAGACGGCTCCACTAACACAATACATAACCTTTGTTCTATCTTATCTTCCACGCTGATACAAATGCAGAAAACACTCACAGACCTTTTTATGATATTCATAGTGAGCTGCTAAGAAGTGAATCTGAGAGGAATAAAAACAGAAGAGTTTCTGCTCTAAACTCTATTTTCACATCCATAAAGACACATGACCGATCACAGCAGGTGAGAGGCGACAGAAAGTTAAAGTTCAGATGCAGAACTTCTCATTTCAACCATTATAACAGAGTTCTCTTGATGTTCCCTCTTTCGAGAGACGGCAGAGCCTTCAGCTTTCTCGTATTTTTCTTCTTCCAGACAAAATAAACAGCAATCCCACTCAATATAAGAATCACCACAGCTGCTCGTGAACCACATATGAGTATGGAGCGATCTGCTCAGATGAAAAAATACAAAAATACATGTTGTGCATGTTAGTGCTATGACAGGAGTTAACTTAAGTACCACGAGTCATCTGTGCAGGAAGTAGTCACAGATTGATTGGAGGATGGGATTTTAGTGGGGGGTTTAACTGACACCATGATGCCAGTCTCCTTACCCACAGTAGTGTCTTTACTCGTGGTTGGCTCAATACACTGGATGTCACTGGCTTCAAGCACCCACTCTGATATGTTTGTCCCATTAGTTAAGGTGCAGTTGATGAAAAGGCCTATGGGAAAGAAACAGAGCAATCACTGATGCACAGAGTGATCATAATCAGTGTCATAATTATCAAACTGTTTTCTACTCGTGTTCTCACTCACATTTCCTCGCTTCTTTTGAGACACTACTGATGTGATTCTTGACGGAGCAGACCAGTTGTCCTGAGACGTCTGGTTTCAGAGTGATGTTGTTATTCTCATTATTACTAGAGAGGAGCTGAGCATCTGTCAGTGTGTGTCCATCCAGAGTCCAGCTGTACTGGGGACTGTCTCCTCCCTCAGAGGAACAGGACACCTTCATCTCTCCCTGGGACAGACACTCAGAGACCAGCAGGACAGAGGACACAGGAGCTAAAGGAAACACACTCAGATTAATTTTCATATTAAAAGAATCTTGTACATTATATACAGTAGATATATATATATATATATATATATATATATATATATATATATATATAGTTTAGCAATAAAATATAACATGTATTACTTTGAGTATTACTAAATTCCACAGTAGACAAAATGTTTGTTTTTACCTTGAATGATCAACTGTAGAGTCTGTGGCTCTGATGTGCGTCCATTTGAATCAGAGATCATGAGAGTATATTCACCTCCATCAGTCCTGCTCAGGTTGTTGATCCTAAATGTTCCATCAGTGGGAGTAAATGAAGATCTGTCTGTTTTCAGAACAAACACTGCCCTGTTCTTACCCCCTCTGAGTATTAGTGTTTTGTTCTTTAACCATTCGTATCTAAATATTTCTGAGGCACTGTCCATCAGCTGGAGGACCACAGTTCCTCCAAAAGCTCCATAACACTGAGCTCCATTATTCTTTCTGCCATCACAGTAGGTTTCCACACCTGGAAATTAAACAATTAAAAATTAATAAAATAATTTAAATATAACTCTTTTCATAATTGTTCAACAATTGAATTTACAAAAGTCATGACCATGACAATATTTTGGCCTTATGCAACTACCGATCTAAACAAATAACAGTGGTTTGGTTCAGCTGTGTCTCTCTCTGACCACACTGTGAAAACAGACTTTATTGTTAGAGCTGAATGTTACACGACTAAACATTTCAGGTTTAGCTAACAGAGGTATTTCACATTTTTCATCCAGTCATTATAAACTGATGATGTGTTTCTTCACACCTACAGAACTTTATTTTAAATTATAGCACAGATCACAACTTTTCTAGTGATAGTGAATTATAGTTCATGCTGTATTTGGAAAAAATCTGTAAAACGATCAACAAAATATCGAGAGAAGTCCAGCCTTAGTCAGTTTACAGTTATTCTATTATGGTACAATGTTATGCAGTGTTATCTTAAATCATGAAGTGACTTCAGGTTTCACAGGATTAATTAAATATCTGAACTGTCTGGGATCCTAAAAGTATAATTTAATAGATTCATTCATAAAAAAGTGGAAGTTCATACTTGTGATGTGAAACCGATCTCTGGATTTGCCTAAATTGATTAAAAAACATCCTTAGAAAAGTTCAAATAAGAGTTTCAATCTGCAGCATTTATCTGCCATCAGTCAGTAAGTTAACAGTAAGTAAACAATTTAGTCATTCCTACTAAATCAGTAGGAAACAGTGGGTTTGCTGTAACTGCTTCTCTCGGACCACAGTTTGCAAACAGGAAGTTATTCTTGTGTAACTGAGAATTACACAGGCCTGTGAGCAGAGGTGGAATGTAAGTACGGAAAAATACACCAGATAAAGCATCATAGATTCATGGCAGTCAATTGAACATTATATTTAATTAAATTCAATAAAATTATATTGAATTAATTTACACTGATAACATTAGGACCACCTGGGCACCCTGGTGGTCATAATGTTGTGCAGCCCCATACCAACAAACTGTGATGCACTGTTTATTCTGACACCTTTCTATCAGAACCAGCATGAACTTTTTCAGCAGTTTGAGCTACAGTAGCTCGTCTATTGGATCGAAACACACGGGCCAGCCTTCACTCCGCACGTGCATTAATGAGACATACTTGTCACCGTGATGCCAGTCTCCTTACCCACAGTAGTGTCTTTACTCGTGGTTGGCTCAATACACTGGATGTCACTGGCTTCAAGTACCCACTCTGATATGTTTGTCCCATTAGTTAAGGTGCAGTTGATGAAAAGGCCTATGGGAAAGAAACAGAGCAATCACTGATGCACAGAGTGATCATTATCAGTGTCATAATTATCAAACTGTTTTCTACTTGTGTTCTCACTCACATTTCCTCGCTTCTTTTGAGACATTACTGATGTGATTCTTGACGGAGCAGACCAGTTGTCCTGAGACGTTTGGTTTCAGAGTGATGTTGTTAGTCTCATTATTTCCAGAGAGGAGCTGAGTGTCTGTCAGTGTGTGTCCATCCAGAGTCCAGCTGTACTGAGGACTGTCTCCTCCCTCAGAGGAACAGGACACCCTCGTCTCACCCTGGGACAGACACTCAGAGACCAGCAGGACAGAGGATACAGGAGCTGAAGGAAACACACTCGGATGACTTTTGATATTAACAGAATCTTTGTCATTATATACAGTAGATATATATAGTTTTGGCAATAAAATAGAACATGTATTTCTTTGAATATTACTAGATTCCCCTGTAGACAAAATTATTTTTTACCTTGAATGATCAACTGTAGAGTCTGTGGCACTGATGTGCCTCCATTTGAATAAGAGATCATGAGAGTGTATTCACCTCCATCAGTCCTGCTCAGGTTGTTGATCCTAAATGTTCCATCACTGGGAGTAAATGAAGATCTGTCTGCTGTCAGAATAAACACTGCCCTGTTCTTACCCCCTCTGAGTATTGATGTTTTGTTCTTTAACCATTCGTATCTGAATATTTCTGAGGCACTGTCCATCAGCTGGAGGACCACAGTTCCTCCCAAAGCTCCATAACACTGAGCTCCATCCTGTCTGCCATCACAGTAGGTTTCCACACCTGGAAATTAAACAATTAAAAATTAACAAAATAATGTAAATCTCACTCTTTTCATAATTGTTCAACAATTGAATTTACAAAAGTCATGACCATGACAATATTTTGGCCTTATGCAACTATCGATCTGAACAAATAACAGTGGTTTGGTTCAGCTGTGTCTCTCTCTGACCACACAGTGAAAACAGACTTTATTGTTAGAGCTGAATGTTACACGACAAAACATTTCAGTTTTAGCTATAGGTTTAGTCATTATAAACTGATGATGTGTTTTTTCACATCTACAGAACTTTATTTTAAATTATAGCACAGATCACAACTTTTCTAGTGATACTGAATTATAGTTGATGCTGTACTTGGAAAAAATCTATAAAATGATCAACAAAATATCGAGAGAAGTCCAGCCTTAGTCAGTTTATAGTTATTCTATTATGGTACAATGTTATGCAGTGTTATCTTAAACCATGAAGTGACTTCAGGTTTCACAGGATTAATTAAAATATCTGAACTGTCTGGGATCCTAAAAGTATAATTTAATAGATTAATTCATAAAAAAGTGGAAGTTCATACTTGTGACGTGAAACCGATCTCTGGATTTGCCTAAATTGATTAAAAAACATCCATAGAAAAGTTCAAATAAGAGTTTCAATCTGCAGCATTTATCTGCCATCAGTCAGTAAGTTAACAGTAAGTAAACAATTTAGTCATTCCTACTAAATCAGTAGGAAACAGTGGGTTTGCTGTAACTGCTTCTCTCGGACCACAGTTTGCAAACAGGAAGTTATTCTTGTGTAGCTGAGAATTACACAGGCCTGTGAGCAGTGGTGGAATGTAAGTACGTAAAAATACACCAGATAAAGCATCATAGATTTATGGCAGTCAATTGAACATTATATTTAATTAAATTCAATAAAATTATATTGAATTAATTTACACTGATAACATTAGGACCACCTCGGCACCCTGGTGGTCATAATGTTGTGCAGCCTCATACCAACAAACTCTGATGCACTGTGTGTTCTGACACCTTTCTATCAGAACCAGCATGAACTTTTTCAGCAGTTTGAGCTACAGTAGCTCGTCTATTGGATCGAAACACACGGGCCAGCCTTCACTCCCCACGTGCATTAATGAGCCTTGGCCACCCATAACCCGCTTTTCCTTCCTTGGACCACTTTTGATAGGTACTACTGACCACTGCAGACCAGGAACATCCCACAAGAGCTGCAGTTTTGGAGATGCTCTGACCCAGTCGTCTAGCCATCACAATTTGGCCCTTGTCAAAGTCGCTCAAATCCTCATGCTGCCCATTTTTCCTGCTTCTAACACATCAACTGTGAGGAGAAAATGTTCATTTGCTGTCTAATATATCCCACTCACTGACAGGTGCCATGATAACCAGATAATCAGTGTTATTCTCTTCACCAGTCAGTGCTCATAATGTTATAGCTGATCAGTGTATGTGTCACGATTCACTGAAGATGACAAACTGTATTTTTTTAGTAAACCTTATTCAACAGCTTCATAAAATGTGCCAAATTAAGTTAAACATCTCACCATGAGAGACTCCGAGTATCATCAGCACCAGTCCAATCACAGCCTCCATGTCTCCTCAGTTTTCAGCCTCCGTTGATTCAGTCAGCAGCTTCCAGAGAAAACCTCTCTACTTTATTCAATAGCTAACATGCACATCTGACACTGAGCAGCCTGAAACGTCTTCTGATCAGCTTCAGATAAGAAGGTGTGAAAACTCACCAACACTGACGAGTGTTGGTACAATAATAGAGAAAAAAGAGGAAGCACAATTAATGTAAACTTGCAAAGCTGCCCTCCCAAACAACAAGTTGTCTGTCCAGTTGTTATTTTCTCATACATAACTATTCTTCAGTTACAGCCATATTGGTATGACTCTTGTCAGACATACGCCATCACTAAACTTTGCAAATAAAAAATATTTTTGACAGGCAGAAAATTCTCAAGTATTTTCTTTCTACTATTTTGTTTTGAATTAATTTTTACTTTGAGGTTACACAGCTTGAATTACTATAAAGGTCTTGTTAACCAGAAAGCCTATAGACTTCTGTGAAATACCTTTATTTGATTATGCTATCAGCCCTCAGAGCATCATCAGGTAATATTTGTGATGTTCACTGTAAAACTGCATCAACGTGATCTAATTAAATCCACATTTATTCTACATACTATTGTAGCCCGTTGTAAAAGTACAGGGGTTAAAACAAGTTAATTTGTAAGTAAAACAAATCATTATTTCAATTAAGACACACTTCGGTCGTGACGTGCTACGGTAAGCGTACTGACTCATTCCCGGTTCACTTCCTGCTCTGTGTACACTGTTTGGTGCTGTAGCTCTGTCAGTGAACGCTAAAATCTAAATTTGTTATACTCGTTACAGCGGTTATTTTCCCGCTTAACATTTAAACGTAGACTAGTTCTACCTAAGCACTCGGAGTTTCTCCTTCTTTTAGCAGCTTTTCAACATTGAATCAAATTTAAAACTGCTGGCTAAAGATAAACGTAAATACAGTAAGATTGTTATCCACGTCGGCGGTAACGACACCCGTTTACGCCAATCGGAGGTCACTAAGATTAATGTCGAGTCGGTGTGTAATTATGCTAAGACAATGTCGGACTCCGTAGTTTTCTCTGGACCCCTCCCCAATGTGACCAGTGATGACATGTATAGCCGCATGTCGTCATTCCACCGCTGGCTGTCAAGGTGGTGTCCAGAAAACGATGTGGGCTTCATTGATAACTGGAAGCCTTTTTGGGGAAAACCTGGTCTGATTAGGAGAGACGGCATCCATCCCACTTTGGATGGAGCGGCTCTCTTATCTAGCAACATGGCGAAGTTTATTTCTAAAACCTGACAGTCCAGAGT